ACAAGCTATTTAGAATAACAAACACTCAGACGCACACACACTCACGGACCCACGCAAGTACATATATTCTTATCTCTGGTTTATACTGAATGCTGGTAAAGGCAATGAATGCTTTCAGAGCCCATGATCAGAAAAGGGAAACCCATTTTCCTTCCTCACACAAGATCTTCCTGAACCACTTTTAGTATTCTTCCTTCCATTTCCTCATGCAGAGCTCATTGTATAGGTTAATCAGTTTTTTACAATTTATTTTTACTTAAACTATAAGCTTTAAAAAGCATAAGCAGACATGATTTCCCCCACATTTCTGTTATTTTGGTTGCAGAATCAAGCTTCACATATAAAAAATCTTGTTTAACCACAGTCACTCTAAACCCAAGAGTCATCCGGAGCAGCCATCTCAATTTCTACCTGCTACTCTGTTTTGAATCCCAGGGCATCGTGTCATCTGTGCAAGTAATACCCAGGCAGCCATCCTTCCCACCATCTTACATGCCTGGTGTTCCTTCTAGCGTGGCTCCACTAAATCATAAATTGTCAGGTGCAGAGCTGAGGGCAAGAAAAAAGGCCTGACCCTATATAATAGGTATAAGTCTTATGACAGAGTTGTCATGTAACCTTGCGATGACAATCAACTCTGGTTCCCCCAAAGAATGCGGTGTTACCTCCATAAAATGGCAGATATTAAAGTTTAGCTCGCAAATAGAACTTATCTACTCTACTTCAGGAAGAATATGTGGCTGATAGGCAATAAAGAGAAATTCTTATCATACATAATTCTTGACAGATGACTCTGGTGAGGTGATTCAAAGCAGAAAATATACCTGTTTCAAGCAAAATTAATGCTCCACTCACATACCTACCAGATCTATTTGTATAATAATTAATTCCTTTCCAGTCACAATTCTTACCAAAACATTTCACAAGTTAAAAATGAGAAGGCCTAGGTGTATACCAACCAGATTTTTTCAACAGAGAAAAGAAGAAGAGAGAGGCTAGTTTTTAAATACTTAGTTAAAAACCCCTACAGATATCCAATGTAATATTAAAACTTATGCTGCACAAATACATGGTCCTATCTGACTTTCCTCTTTCTCTACATCAATAAAACTCAATGTCCACGTTAAGACTGAACCAAAAGTTCAAAGGCCATTAACAGGTTCCAAGTATCATTTTAGCCTTGATTAACATTATTTTTCCACTCATTTTAGAACTAAAGGAAAAGCCTCTGGAATAAAAATTGATGTTGTATACCTTCTCTGGACAATTTATCATATCAAAGGAAAATGGACTGGGTCTGTGTCCAGGCAAAGTAATTTTGTGTGATTATATTATACTACAGAAAAGAGTAAGAATGAATCCTGAGGGCTTAAACAAAGGGGTGGAGGACTGTCTATATTAATGAAATAAGGAAGATAAACAAAAAATTAATTAATCTGGGTAGTTTATAGTTTAATAGCTAGTAAACATAAATTCCAAGACTTCTTAAGCAAAATTACTAAGGTATCTTTTTCTCAAGTCATATACTTAGGAGGAAAGATTTTTGAAAGTTAACTAAAAGAAGAAGATAATTTTAGACTCTGGGCAAATCTTAAGTTTAAAAGACCTCGTTCTGGATGGATGACTCAATGTGGCAATCCACCAAATGAAGAATTTCTAAGCAGAGGCAGAAGGATGCTACTCAGAAGCAAAGTGAAATTTATTAAGGCTAAGCTACCCTTGCTTAGATCTGAGGTTGTTTTTTTATATTTTGATAGAATATAGAAAAATAAAGCAATCCAGGAAGAAAAACACATCTTCCTAATGAGTTTAGTCTCTACATAAAAACGTATTTTCATTGCCTGACATCTGGTACACAGAGTAATTTTCCACACCTCACTCAGGATAGAAACACTGACTACTTCTGTTTCAAGGATTAGTAAAAGTATCTCAGATACACTTGAAATATTTTTAAAACCACTTCAAATCTAATGGAAGCTCATCTTCCAGTAACAGAAACTCAGAGAAGGCAGAACACTGATGAAGTTTGTTCATTAATTTCCTGAAAGGTAATTAATCTCCTCTTACCTTAAAAATATACAGCCTCACCACTTACTCTTCCAAGCCCCTTAAATATCAACAGCTTATATTAATCTAAACTCTTGGAAAATTTAGAATTCTTTAGAAAAATGTGAATATTTAAAGTTTCATCAAGTATTGAAAATGGTGTAAAAAGAGGGCTCACACCAAGTTATAAGCTGGAAGAGTAACCAAAAGCTTAACTTTGAGTTATAAAGTGATTTTTGCCACTGAATGACAGGAAATAAGAAAAAAAAAAAGCTAACAATTTATAATTCACTCCAGGACTCTCTAAGAAGGAAAAAACAAAATCAAACAAGAAAAAGACCAGAAAGATATCAATGAAACTCTGTTTAAGGGAAATGCATAAAAAGCTAGTATTTTAATTCCATATTCTTATCTTCAAATTATGGAATTCTGAAAGTTTTAGCAATTGTGACCTAAAGACGCTAGTGTATATGCTGGAGTCTTGCACACCAACGAAGAAAGTTAATCAGGGAATCTAAACAAACAGCTCACTATTCTCCAAGGTGGGGTGGGAAAGGTAGAGTAACACAGTACGATCAACTTACTTAATGGAAGCATGTATATTTTTATGTAATAATTCAGGTCCAATTATTGTTAAGACATGAATCTTTCTTTGAATTATCACTGCTTCCTCTGACATAATTATTAGAAAAGTACTTTGATTTTCAAAAGGCTATCAGTTTTAGACTTAAAAAAATAAGAACAGGGCTCCTGGTAGGGGTCCCTAATTCATAAATTCACTAAAGGGCTATCTGATAATAAAATTCAACTTGTTTTGAGATGAATGTCCATAGTTGCTACCCCAAATCAAGACCCAATATATATGTTCTGTATAAAATCTAGTCTCGTGTTTTTAGACTATGGTAATGTGTTTAACAATTGGGGGTGGGAAGTTAGGAATAAAAATAATTCTAGCCCTTCAGACTGAATCATCTGAAGCCCAGGGTTTTTTTACCCCCATGTAAAAATGAATTATCTTCCATTTAAGATTGAAAGGGCTCCATTTATCTTCCCATCTAGGTAATGACCATGAAAAGATCATATTCATTTCAGAAAGAGAACAAGCAGCAGGAATTGTAACTCCTTTGAGAATATCTTAAATAAATATAGATGGTTAGACAGACAGATCATATATTCAGTTTCAGAAGAGAAAAATAAAAGCCTGAACCTTGATGACATACTGTGAATTTGCCAAAATGAGGCAAATACAGAATACAGAATATCATGAACAATATCAGGAAAATACATTTTAATTGGTCAATTTAGCAAGGGTACCCTTTGTGTAAAGGTTCAGGAAATCACTCAACAAATGTTTTTAAACAGTAAATTTTGCAAAGTGTGAAGTATGGAAACATCAGCACGAGGCACACTAGGTCCTAAATTACCACAAAAATTGTACATTAGAAAAGAGCAAAACAGATGAAAATGCAGTCGGGTGGCGTACATCAGCTACTTAGTTTTCCTTCCTTCTACTGAAGTGTTATGCTACTCTGGAGGAGCAACAGTAGGGAGCAAGGAGAGAGACAGCTCCTCTCTCCTGTCATCTCATCAGAAGACACTTTAAGCCTGTGCCATCCAATACAGGAGCCACGTGGCACATGTGGCCAGCGAGTACTGGAAATACGACTGGTGCCATGTGCTGAATGAGTAACACTTTGGGTGCATTGGATTCACTAAATTACAAGATTAAAATCGATTTCACCTGCTTCTTTTTACTTCCCATTTACAGCGGGGTAGAAAGATGGCTGCTCCTAAATGCTCAGAGGAGATACACAGTCGTCTTTGGAGTTTCACACAAAGGGGGAAAGTTTTCTGAGGGTTCTAAAAAATGCCAACAGTTGAAAATTAAATCTAAACTGCAGTTTCCACCTAGCCCAATTGTAAATCTGAATTATATATTTCCCTGAATACACACATCTTTTAAAAAAAAAACAATAAAATTTATGAGACAACATTATTAAGTCAATTTCACAGTTATAAATATTTCAAATTACACCTACACACTATAAATTACAGGAAATAAAATTCAAGTAATAGAAAAAGAAGAGAGGAGCAAAATAAAAGGCGAGGTTATTTAGAGAGGGATATAACAGTAAGAACTGCACCATTGGGATAATTTCGTTTGAAAAAATTCTGCTTGACTAACTGAACTGCATGTGAATAACTTCAAGAGCTAATAACTCTTACAAGAAAAGCAACGAATTCTTTCTTTAAATTCCCGGTTGTTCATCTTTGTCTTTGAAAAAATCTTTTCTTCCCAGCACTGACCCCAGCAGAGCTTGCCCCAAGTGGAGAGAAGCAGAGGGCCTGGGGCACACCTGGTGCTGGGGCTCATCTGACATGTGGACACAGGAGTTGGCAGTAGTGTTCACAGGACCGATGCGCTGTTATCTCCGGGAAATGCTAAAGGTGAAGCTCAGTGTGTCTTGCGATTTAGCGTTCATTTTAAAGAAAACACCCAATGTACTGGCATGAAGTACACACCCTAACAGAAAATGAGCAGCACGGTTCCTGCTATGTATGTTTAAGGAAAGGGAAGGGGTTAATCCCAAAGGCAATTTTTAAATAATGGTATTTTATTTTTATATATAAATAAATGTTCTGAGAAATCTCAGACTTTAGTGCATTGTTGTAAAAAATTAGTGCAGTTTTCTCATTAAAGTTTTTAGCGCTCAAGGAATAAGATAAATCTATGTCTGTTCATAGTCTCTTTCACTGTACATTAAACGTTCACACTGCTAAATGTCTAACTGAAGGTTTCTATACTGGTCTGTTCTTAAAAATCAAGGTAAATGGATTTCACGTTCTGTGACAAAACATGGCAATTATTTTTGGCAAAGAAATTAGAAAAATATGAGATCGTAGTTTAGAAATGAAGAGCTTGTTGATGTAAAGCATAGGCAATACATAGGAAAAAGCTTTTTTTAAGGATGTATTTTTAACAGAACTTTATCCTTCATGCAAAATGTTTTCTTGGTAGCTAACTTAAAAAAATATTTCAGCTTTATTTGGGGATGGAGACAGTGACAGGAGTCAGGGTGAAGGGCAAAGGAGAGGCGCTTAACCAAGCCCGCTCTCCGTCCAAGTCTCTCCCATACAGGAGCAAAGGAATACCTGCAGGCATCTTCCACGCTCTCCTCTCTTTTTCCAATGTCTTGGAATGGAGAGGGCAAAGAAACGTAGTTATAAAACACTGGCTCACACTTCGGCCCCAAGTTCTAGTACCCCCGTTTCAATGACAGTCACATATTTATCATCAATCTGGACCAGAAGTACTGTCTTGTCGATGTGGGATCTAGTACCTGGATCTCTGCTGCAAGGCACCCATCGGTGAATCACCTAATGATTCAGAATACAGTAAGTTAGTGAGAGACCTTGAAAACATTCACAAAATTCACGCAAAATTAGAGGTAGTAATTCTGTTTGGTAATTTAGCAAAAGGTACATTTAAAAAAACATACGCATAAATTAGCCAAACACATGCAAACAAGTCAGTCAGGCTACAAAAAAGTGAGAGCATGGGTCAGCTTCGTGAGAGAACTTACATGGCCTTCCATGCCCTCCTGAGGACTCCAGTCTTTCCAGCTGTTTCTCCCAGCTTTTAACCGAATAGACTCCTCAGGCCACTGCAGCTCTTTCCTTTTTGACAGGTTGATCCCATCCAGAATCTGACTGGGATCGACAATCTATATTGCAAATAAATACGGGTCATTTCCAATTCAATTTTTTCTCGATGATGACAAATTACATAATATCAAACAAAATTTCTCTCACAGACTCTTTGCATCTCAAGTTCTCCACTGCCTGTAACTAAACAAAAAACAATCTAGAGGACCACCTCCTGAATTCCTTTTAGCCTACTGGCTGACCTTACTGCAACAGCCACACGACAGCAGCTGAGCAGGGAACAAAACCACTGGAATGCTACCTGCTTTCAGTTCTTTACACTGGCAGAAAAATTTTTTTCAACATTCAAACATATCCTAGTCTTCAGACTAAGTAAGAGGAAGGTGTGTTCTCATCAGAATCCTTTACTCGACAAACAAGAAGTAAAAACAAATGTGACACAAACAGCACAAGAACCATGTGCTTACTCACTTGGACTCGGTAAATCACGTCCCCCCTTTTGGTGTGTGAATTATTGGCAGGACTTAAGGTGTTGCCTGGCTGGGCATCAGTGGCACTGCTCTGACCTCCCTCTGTCCCAAGAAAGCCCACGAGAGTGTGATGTTTGCAGGCTGGGATGCTCTGGCTGGAGCTGCTGGAAGAAGGCAGGCCATGCTGCACACAGGCCATGCCGCTCTGACCGGAGGGCTCCATCTGGTTCACCATAGAGAGGCGGGACTGGATGGAGGACGGTAAGTTTCGAAGTGATATCTGACTCGTGGAAGAGCGCCGACAAGGCACAAATCCCGTGGTGGACATCCGGAGCGACGAGTGCCGGCTGCTGTAGCAGTAAGAAGACTGGCTGGCCACTGAGGCGCGAGCAGGGGACTGTCTAACCAGGCTTGACTGTACGGAGTGGGAGCTGTGGCTAGTGCCTAGCGAAGGATAAACAACAACAGCATTCTAAGTGCAATGATTCAAACACGGGGTGTTTTGGGTTTTTTTTTTTCTTTGTAGTTTCTAAGAGATTTTCCCTTAAGTAATTACTTGGTCAATTCACTGAATTTAAATTATACCTAAAACTTTTTTTAAAAAAGTTTATATTTATACCTACAACTTTTTAAAAAAAGATTTTATTTGAGAGAGAGAGTGCAAGAGAGCATGCAAGCATGCACATGCACAAGTTGGGAGAGGGATAGAGGCAGAGGGAGAGAGAGAATATCCAACAGACTCCCTGCTGTACGTGAAGCCCAATGAGGGGCTTGATCTCCTGACCGTGAGATCATGACTTGAGCCAAAACCAAGAGTTGGACGCTTAACTGACTGTGCCATCCAGGCGCCCCATACCTAAAACTTTTAGTGTTGTCAAAAGGAAATAAATATCTGAGATCTGTTTTCTTGTGTGGTTTTGATAATAATTTTAATTTGCTAATGCTCTTTAAAATTAAAATTCTGGAACAAAAGCAAGACATATAATTTCAGCAAATATCAGGATTTAACATTGAGATGACTCCTAAAATATCTTCCACAGAAATATTTCAGAATAATAAGAATAATTCTTTAATATTTCAGAAATGAAGTATCTCATGAAATGAGACCATAAGAAATATTTATTAAGGATCTACTAAGGGGCAAGATCTGTAACTACTACTTCTCAAAAGTATAGAATTAATGTCCTTCAATCCATTCCAAGGACAAACTGCACAGTGTATAGAGAGATGGTGATACCACATTGTAATTTTCATATCCATTAAGAGATTACCACTAAATATGAATTATCAGTGATACTGAATAGCAGGTCCTTCTGTGTCCTTTTTCAAATGGCTTGATATGATTCCTCAGGTTCATCTTTTTCCTGACTTTTAACAGTAATGTGAAGATTAAGAAATAATTAACTATATTGAAAAAATTGCTCCATGTACTTTCTATCTGAAAATAAAGAGCTGATCAAAATAAGAGCATTTAAAAAAGCACAATGAAAGTTCTAGCTTTTCACTCAGAAGTTACAAAAGAACATACAAAATGTTGGTGTAATACAACTATTTTGAGTCTTAATTCCAGTGCTACTGGATTTTTTTTTTAACTTAACAATAAATGTCTTAAGACTTCATCTCATTCATGTGAAGCAGTAGGGGAAAAGACAGTACTGAATCAACCCAACCAGCCATATGAAAACAGATTAAATATGATTCCTACTGCATACCAGGTGGATGACAGATCTTGTGTAAAAAGAAAATTAGTGAAAAACAAAAACAGAAAAACCAAACCCTCATGCCTTGGGATAGGAAAAATTTTCTTAAGTAGGATATAAAAAGTACTAATCATAAAAGAAAAGATCAGTAAATTGCTCTACACTTTGTCAAAAGAAGAGGAGCCACCCTTCTTAGGAAGAGAATGGAAAGACAAGGGATAGAATGGCAAAAGGTATTTGTAGTACAGAAAGCTGAGAAAAAACTCAAACACAAAATATACAAATAAGAAAAAGATAATCATGGAACTAGAGGGTATTATGCTAAGTGAAATAAGTCAGTCAGTGAAAGACAAACATCCTATGATTTCACTCATATGTGGAATTTATGAAACAAAACAGAGGAACAAAGCGGAAGGGAAAAAAAATAAGATAAAAACGGAGAGGGAAGCAAACCATATGAGACTCGTAACTATAGAGAACAAACTGAGGGTTGCTGGAGGGGAGGTAGGCGGGGGGATGGGGTAAATGGATGACAGGCATTGAGGAGGGCACTTGTTGGGATGAGCACTGGGTGTTGTGAGTGATGAGTCACTGGATTCTGCTCCTGAAACCAGTGCTGCACTGTATGTTAACTAATTTGAAATTAAAATAAAAAAAAGAAAGAAAAAGATAACCAAAGAGAAAAATGGGCAAGAGACTTAATAGGTACTTCAAAAAGAGGAATAGGTGATAAACTGATTTAAAACCTTCCAATCTTAGGTATCAGAGCAATGTAAATTATAACAATGAATTAAAGATCACCCTTCTCCCGTCCCTCTCAGCAAGCAGGGAGCAGAGATGGGAACTGATAACACTCCACGCTGGTGAAAGGTTACAGGATGGGCATTCCGATGTATGACCGGGGAGAGTGCCAATTGGTAAAAAACAAACAAAACAAAACAAAAACTTGCTAGAAAGATTTTTGGCATTATGTGTCATGAATCTTAAATATTCTCATAAACTTTGACTTAATGATCGCATTTTTAAAGTCTCTAGCCCAAGAAAATAGTGATTACAAAGTTTATTATAACATTCAGGAGAAACCAAATCATTGTCCAATGAAAGAGAAGTTAAATAAATTATACTAAATATTATTAGCCTTTAAAAATGATACTTTTGAAGAAATAATATTCCAAATAATACATATATTTAATATAAATAGGATAATGTCCAACCAGGAATCAAACAAAACATTCTTTTTACATATTCCAAGTAGGTATACAGAATTCTCTCTTTTTTCTTTTTGAGAGAGAGAGAGAAGAAAGACACAGAGAGAGAAAGCGAGCACACACCCGTGAGTGGGAGGGTAGAGGGGCAGGGGACTTGGGGGGTGGGGGTGGGGAGGGACAGAGGGAGAGGGAGAGAGAGAATCCCAAGCAGGCTCCACGCCCAGTACGGAGCCCGTCTCAGGGCTCAATCCCACCACCCTGAGATCATGACCTGAGCTGAAATCAAGAGTCTGACGCTTAACTGAGCCACCCTGGTGCCCAGCAGATAATTCTCTTTACACACACATACTAAGAGGCTAAGTTCAATACATACTTTTGTTTTCACGTTACCTAGTGCTGGAGGATAAGATGTGACCGGTGGATGGAGTCCTGCTCCCGACCCTGGCGCTGGATTTCCAGTGCTTCCCTGGGACACACTGCTATGGGGGTCACTGGCACTCGTGGCATTGTTGCTGGTGCAGGACATCCCACCTCCAGTGTCCCCATCTTCAATATTGCCACCGCTGTTACAGCCAGCCCCACACCCTTTCCTTAACCTAGGAACACACACCAGAGTAAGCAGCATTACCCCCCGATCCCTTCAAGACAGGTGTCTTACTCTATTTCTAGCTCTTCTGAATGGTTAATGCCACAAATGTTCATCTTTGAAAGTCTTCATGGTGCAGTCAGTATTAGAAACACAAAAAAAAGGCAGCTATGTTTTCAAAGAATGGCCTAAGAACTATCCCCCCCTTATTCTCACTGCCTCAGTTCTTCCCAATCTACCTTCACTTTTTATCATCTTTCCCAATCTTTTCATCTTTCCTTAGCCATAATAAACTGCACATAACAAAACTGTACCATTAAGATAGCAATAGGATTCTTGCCAGTGCCTGTTCAGTGCCTCTGAAGTGTGCAACTTCTGAAAACCTAATTTCTGCTGTAGGACACTTGGAAGAGAGCTGCTGCAATCATTTTTCCTTTTTTTTTTTTTAAATGTAGGGTGACCAACTATCCTGGGTTGCCCACAACTGTCTCAGTTTGGCACTGAAAGTCCTGCTTCCCAGGACACTTCTCAGTCCTGCGCAAACCAGCACAGCTGGGCACCTTAATCTCTACACCATTTCTCTCGAGGGAAGAGAATTCAACCTCTTTAATGCAATTCCAGCACAACAGATAATTTTTGAAAAGGAATTTCTTCAAACACCACTGTGGTTTATGTTCTTCTTTCTGTTTGGATAGGGACTGATGTTAAAATGGTGCGACTCTTTTTTTTTTTGAGTATGCCTGTTGGAGAGTTTGCCACCCTAATCCCACATTCTGTTTTTCTTAAGTTCTGTTATTTAAGGATCTAAACAAAAGCCTGTAAGAAATTGAAAAGATACTCTATGATTTTTCTTCACTATCCACCAAACTATGATGTTCCTATACTGAACACTATAATCTACTAGACAAAAGGCAGAGAAAAAATTCATGTGCACATTCGAAGACATGACAGATTTGAGATCAGAGTGATGACTGGATTGTTCAAATGGCAGTAGTAGCACGTAACTAGGAGTTTCAGCAAGTACGGCGTGCTCCCCCTACTGCTAGAATGGAATAAAACAGCAGGTGAGCAACTTGTTCAACTGTGTTAGGTTTTTCTCTAATTTGCTGTTTGTTGGCCCACACATCCTAATAGTGGCACTATGCTGCAATACAGAGTTAAAAAACTTAATAGAAAAGAGAACTATTCAAGATTCTACGAAATGCTGGATCAGTGGTTCTTAACCAGAGTTGTACATGAGATTTACCTAATAAGAGTCTGAGGATAAAAATGCCCAGACTACTTTCTAAAGTTCCTGACAGAATAGGTTTATATTGTGTCATGGCATCTGTATTTTTTCTATAAGATTTCCAGGTGATACTCATGCAAACTGCCTCGATGAAGAGAGTCAGAACACACCACCACTGAACATGCAACCACATAGCTCACCTGTGCCAGGTTGACACTATGAAGTTTCTGATATTTCCCAAACTGATAGGTCCCCCAAGGATTTCTTTAAGCTGTTCATGGCTGTCAGAGTAAGAAGTTGTCAGGGGTGAGACAAAGATTGGGTAGCCAATAGGCTGATCACAAGATGAGTTTATCATGTTTCTCAGAGCTTGTTTTGCATTTTGGATGCTACCTCTCTCTGGGTTACGGTTACGTAGAAAAACAAGCTCTTGCTGTTGTCCTGCCCAAAGACCTCGGACACATTCCTTATTAACCTGAAAACCAGAACACATGGGAATTAGGTGAAGGGGCCAAGAATGAAATTCATATAAACAGAAGAGTATAAATGGGAGGGATACAAAAGACATATGAGAACCAACTGTGAAAAGCAGGAAACAAATACAAGTAGGTCACATTTTTTTTTTTTATTTGAGAGCGAGAATGAGAGAGAGAGAGAGAGCATGAGAGAGGAGAGGGTCAGAGGGAGAAGCAGACTCCCCTGCCGAGCAGGGAGCCCGATGCGGGACCCGATCCCGGGACTCCGGGATCATGACGAGACGAAGGCAGTCGCTTAACCAACTGAGCCACCCAGGCGCCCAGTAGGTCACATTTAAACAGGAGTTCATCAATTTTCCATTGTCACCAGTGGGCTGTCAAATAATAAGCACATGCAGAACTGTTTTCCCTGGTCTGTCTGGTAAAAATACGAAGTTTTCCAAATCAATAATGCACTGAATTTTATAATTGAGATAACAGATATATTTGACAGAAAGGAGCAGTAACAAAATATTCAGAGTTAAAAGGATGTTTGTGACTTTGCAGGTTGATTAAATGAAGTAGATAAAAAGTGAATCATTATTAACTATTAAAATAAAATTTCAGAAATTATGTCTCCTAAAGCCGTGAGATGTTTAAAAAAGCAACAAACAAGGGGAGGTAGGTGGGGGGAAGGGATAACTGGGTGAAGGGCATTAAGGAGGGCACTGGATGTAATGAGCACTGGGTGTTATATACAATTGATGAATCACTAAATTCTACCTCTGAAACTAATTTTAAAAAAGACAAACAAAAAAACAACAAAAAGTACAAGCTATGGTATTATTTTGCAACCTGGAAATCAAATTAGCAATATAGTGCTGATCTTTTAAGAAGAAATGCTGCCCAGAGAGCATATATAATAGATAAAAGACTGCCAAAACAGAAATAAGCAAAAATTTTAAGACTTTATGGCACATGAGAAAATTTCAGAGGATAGAAAAAATTACAAAATAAATTAAGTGCTCATAAACAATCAATGCTAATGTAGTATGGTCATTTTTTTTCTATAAAAAGAATTTCACTTTTTAGGGCGCCTGGGTGGCTCAGTTGGTTAAGCGACTGCCTTCGGCTCAGGTCATGATCCCGGAGTCCCGGAATCGAGTCCCACATCGGGCTCCCTGCTCAGTAAGGGAGCCTGCTTCTCCCTCTGACCCTCCCCCCTCTCATGTACTCTCTCTCTCTCTCATTCTCTCTCTCTCAAATAAATAAATAAATCTTTAAAAAAAAAATAAAAATAAAAAAATAAAAAGAATTTCACTTTTTAAGTTGGGATAAGGTTATCTAACTTCCATTTTTTTTTCCCCAGATACAAATAAATGCTTCAAAAACTTACCTTAATGACCCTAAAGCTCAGATAGCGTCTATTCAGCATGATGATCTTATATTCATTGGTGCCATCATCCATGACATGCCGCAGAGCGAGAAGGGAGGGAGAGTTGGCAAGGACTGCACTCCGCCATGCAGGGTCCCCTTCATGGGCTATTACGAGGTTCTTTTCATGAGACACAATGGCTTCATAGAGCACAGTAGGGTCATCATACTCATCTGGAGAAGTGAAATGATCCTAAATAGAGAAATAAAAACTATAAACTTTACAGGAAGAGAAGGACTTCCAGTGGAATCATAAACACTTCTGCAGTTACTAATCAGTTACTAAATGAAAATTCTGAAAAACTGGTTTAATATGAGTATTTCACAACCGCACATATTATTATTGTTGGAGACAGAGAGTCTTAAATTTAACCAGGTTAGGAATTAGCTCATTATTGCCATACTACTTTTTTTTTTTTTTTTAAGATTTTACTTATTTGACAGAGAGAGACACAGCGAGAGAGGAAACACAAGCAGAGGGCGTGGGAGGGGGAGAAGCAGGCTTCCCGCCAAGCAGGGAGCCCAATGCAGAACTCAATCCAAGGACCCTGGACCATGACCTGAGCTGAAGGCAGACGCTTAACGGCTGAGCCAGCCAGGAGCCCCTGCCATACTACTTTTGTAAATTCTTCAACCCAACCCTATCTTCTAAGTTTTAAATAAACAAATATTTTTCCAATTTTTATATATTTTCTTTTTCTCATTTAAGTGGGGTTTTACATGTCTTCATTCACACATTTTTTTCTCTTCAAGGATCATCTCACTGGTATCAGTTAAGGAAGGCTAAGCTACATAAAAGTTCCCTAAGCAGTATTTTTTTTTTTTTAAGATTTTACTTATTTATTTGACAGAGAGATAGAGCCAGAGAGCACAAGCAAAGGGAATGGCGGAGGCAGAGGGAGAAGCAGGCTCTGCACTTGAGCAGGGAGCCTGATGTGGGACTCGATCCCAGGACCCTGGGATTATGACCTGAGTCGAAGGCAGACACTTAACTATCTGAGCCACCCAGGCACCCAGTAGTGTTTCTTTTTAACAAGGCATTTTTAACATAAAGCCACATCTCTAGAATGATTCCAATATAGTATTTTATCTCATGTAGTTAAGATAATAAATTAAGGGTCCTAGTCCTAAAGAAGCTAGTCAAGTCTTCCCTGAGAAATCTCTTGGTCTATGTAACAACCACTGCTGCATTCCACAAGCCGTTATTTAATACCTCTCATGTGGGGGATTCTATGGCAGAGAGCATGGATGAAAAAGGCCTATGTGGAATCTATCCCCCCTTCAGAAACAGTGCAAATTAACAGGGGATCCAGGACATATACCCACATAACCATAACACGAATCTGAACTTCTGAAGTGAAGAGTATACAATCGTACGTATTCATAGTTGGGAGGTTGATAAATTTTTACATGCAGGTAAAGTAACTCATTTCTACTCAAGCCAAGTGACCAGACTGTGTGTGATATCTGAGGGGAGATGGGTGAGTGTAAGAAGGCAAGCTCCCCAGTGATGCACCTCCACATCTAGCGACTAGCCTATATGAGAATAATAAAAGTATTCACTGTATATGTGAATAATGCTTCATAATGTAAAAAGTTCTGCAACACGTTTTTTCCCTGAACTTGCCAAGCAGGTTCAGTACATACTACCGGCATTTTGCAAATATCAAATCTGAAGTTCAAAGAGTCATAGCTGCTTCCTAGGTTTGGAAAGTTAGTAAATGATTAAGCCAGGACTTAGAACACATGTTTAAAGAGAATTTATCATTCTGATTTTTAAAAGTATATGATTACAAATGTTAACTGAAAAACCTGTCAAGTCTAGCTGCTGTGATTAGGGAAGTTACACAATGCAGGTGGTTTTGAACTGGATCTGAAAGGAGGACAATGTCAGTGGCTGGAGATAGGCACTGTGGGGGACAGGGAGAGAGCTCCAGACAAGACATCCTACAGGGGAGAAGCACAGGCCAGTGAAAAACACAAAGGTGATTATAGCCTAAAGTCTCTCTGGGGAATTGGGTTTCTATTACGTTGCCAGGCAGCACTGTGCTAGACCCTGGGGAAAGAGTAGTGAGCACGACAGATACAAGCACTGTTCTCATGGAACTTAGGGTCTAGTTAGAAAATACTAAAAAAAAAAAATTAGAAAACTAGCTTTTAGCCAGATTGTGGAGCATCTCCCCTGTACCTTTGTCCAGATTTCTTTTACTGATCTGGTGCACTCCCCTCTCCAATGCTTTGAGCATTGGTTCTTAACAGCTCAGTTATTCCCTCCTCTTAGAACTACCTTCAGTTGATGGAGCTGCCTGGGCAGGAAATGCCAAGGGAGGTTTGTTCCCTACTTGGGTGTGGGGGACTCAAGGTACACCATGTAACTCCTGGTGACACTGACACTCTAGAACTCATTCTAAATCCGGTAGAAGCTAGAATTTAGTTGAAACATAGTTTTGCTTAGCTCCTTCCCTGTTCTTTCCTGCTTCCCTCCCTTCCTTACAAATTCCCCTGAGGGCACCCTGTCATCTCTGGCACAGGAATCCTGGACTCCAACTCTGCGTCTAAAGAACGTGCGTGGCCTAAGCTAGAATTTACAACTTACAATACCTCTGTACATCATACACCAACCCTCCTGACCTTTCTTTTAAATACTGAGCTCACTTTCCTATAGCAGCAGATAGCCAGACATCATATGATGTGCTCTCCTTTAGGAAACAGTTCCTTTAGGGAAGGAATCCTATCTTTGTATAGTAGTGTTGGTACAATTTTTGAATGGAAAATAAAAGTGCAGACAGACGTAACAGTTATACTCTTAATAAAATGGACAAAGTTGGAAATTATTAGGCATGCCAAAATGGAGTTAGCTGAATCTTGCTCAAATATTTCTTTTCACTGGGCTTAAGATAGTTGGATGACTATTGTTTTAGAGGCAAAGTATTTGAAACAAGCAGAATGTCCATGAATAGGGAAATGGCCGAATAAACTGTAGTTTAAAATTATATCCTAGAATACTATAGAGCCATTAAATAAATATGTGGGGTGCCTCTATATGTGCTTACTTAGAAAGTATCCATGTTATACTAAATAGGGGGGGAAAAAGCATGTGTTACAGATCATTTTATGTAGCACAAAGGAAAATATTTGTACATATAGATGGAAATGTCTATGAAGTCAGGAAAATCAGAAAATATATGCATCAAATTACTGGCAGTGACTGCTTCCTGGAAGGGCCATACAATGGTATGGGGTGATGGGAATACTCACTCTTGGGTGAAGCTCACTTTTTAACGGTTTTCATTATTTTTCAAATACAAAGAGAAAATGTTCCCAGTTCTGGGAAAAGTTTTCAAAGGCATTTTAAAAATATACTTGAAAAGTTACAAGCCAACGCACAGGATATTTATTTAAAAAACAAAACAAAACACGAAACTCATTCATTTTACATTCACTGGCTGCCAAGCCTCGTGCTAAGCAACGAAGATATAAAGATTAGTAAAAAATGATCCCTGTCCTCAACCACACACTGTAAGATTTTTGTCATATATCACTTATAAGCCAAACTGGACTTTGATTATTTTATTTTTAAAGATTTTATTTATTCATTTTAAGAGAGAGAGAGAGAGACAGAGAGCACAAGCAGGGGGAGAGGCAGAGGGAGAAGCAGGCTTCCAGCTTAGCAGGGAGCCTGACTTGGGGCTTGATCCCAGGACCTGGAGATACGACCTGAGCTGTAAGGCAGACGCCCAACCATCTGAGCCACCTGGCACCCCTGATTATTTTAGTTCTAACAACCATGTAATCTTCAAAGAGACTAATGAAAAAGGTAAAACAAATAAGGAGGTAAAGTGTTTCACAAAATGATTAAATAGAGGACAAGAGCAGGCGAACATGTGAAAAAGGCAATCTGCTTAATTTCTCTGAGTTCTGAGTCTTCACCTACCGAACTGGGATGAAAACAATTTTCTGGATTGTGGTGGTATTATGTATGTGAGAGCACCAATATGCTGTACAATACTGAACATTTACTAAATATCACAGAGATTATGACCATTTTTATTTATAAAGTAAAAACATAATACAGTCAATTGGAGAATTAAAAAATAAAAAAACTGTAAAGGAAAAAGTAAAAATTAAAAACACCTACAAAGTGTGCTAAACGCACATTATCAAGGACTGTCTGAGAGGCAAGAGTTAAGAGAAATTTTATATTTCTAGGTTTCCAGGAACAAAACCTTTTCTTTACATAAAATAAATTATACCATTTTAAGTGTACAGTTACATGCATTTTGACAAATATGCACACCCATGTAATCACCAACACAATCTAGATCTAAAACTTTCCATCACCCCCAAAAATTCCTTCCTGTCTTTTGGCATTCAATCTCCACATCCTAAGGAATCACGAATCTGCTTTCTGTGGCTACAGACTAGTTAGATTTGTTTTAGATTTTATATAAATAAAATCATACAGTATGTACTCTTTTTATGTCTGGTTTCTTCTGCTGTGTATAATGTCTGAGATTCATTCATGTTGTGGTATCTAACAATAGTTCATTTCTTTCTACTGCTAAGTAATATTCTATCCCCACGTAGATATACCATAATTAGTATGTTCATCTGTTGATGGACATTTAAGTTGTTTCCAGTTTGGGGCTATTACAACTAAAACTGCTAGGCACACATGCGTGTCGACATAGACTTCCATTCTCTTACGTAATTATCTAGGAGAGGAATTGCTGGGTTGTACGGAGTATGTATGCATATCCTTTCTTTTAATACATAAACTTATTGTTACTTTTGTGGGATGGGTTTTCGTGAGTACATAAATCATGAAATATGTGAGTATAATGTATGAGTATGAACTTGGGAGATTACCAGTACCGATTTACAGATCTATCTTTTCTTGGCCCAAGAGTCCCTCGTGGGCAACCCAACATCTCGCTCAAAACTCAGTTAAGTGGTTGTTTCTGGCTACTGTACAGGTAGATCTCACCCTCCTCAAACGTGTATCAGAATTACGGAATTTCTCCAGGCTGCATTTGCGTTCTCTATCTTCCCCCCTGCCACCAGCTCTTCACGGCTCCCGGGTTCCTGATTCCAACTCCTTATCCCCACTGTTTGTCACTGTTGTTGGTCATGGCTAATGAGAGTGAGCTCTAGTGTGCAGCCCAAGTGTGCTGGGCCAAATATAAGGTAGAGAAACACTGTCACAGGCAATAATGCCATAGCCAAAGGAACATGTAAGGAAATGGACCTGGCAGCAACAGGGAAGAGCACCTGTAGGCAGAGACGGGGGCAAAGACCTAAGGTGTCAGAAAATCCCCTGTGCCTCAGTTTCTTCTCTGACAGCTGGAGAGGAAACACCTGTCATAATGTTTAGAATTAACTGAAGATGTTGACCTGGAGCTGTTAGGTAATCATGCTGTATAAAACAGAGTATTTCTTACATAGCAGATATATTAATCAGTGCCTTTTAAGAAATTCTAAAGTTTTAAAAACATTTTAATCTAAAGTCATCATCTTTTTCATTTAAACACACTGACTTGGCTCAAAACTGTAAAGCTAGTCTGAAGATAGACAACTCTATTTGTTCCCAAATGTGTATTTTCTCCATGATCTTCAAAATAGTTTTCCATTTTCCACAGAGACTTTCAAATAATATATCCCTTGTCAGTAATCTCCTAAATAATACGGAACAGTGACTTTATTCTAACAGTTTAGATCACAGTAAAATCACTTGAGGAGTAATTTACCCTTTATTTGGGGGAAAAAAAGATTCAAACAGATTTGAGTACAACAGTTGCATTTTAATGAGGCTTATCATGTGGTCTTTGTCATCAGATCTGACGACTATTGTTCAGTGGAATGATTAGAGTAGCAAGTACCAGTACTTAATTTCCTAAAACAGTCTTGAAATCATCCAGGGCTCTGGATATGTATTTTGGGTCCACATTTTAATTTTATTACCCTACTAGGATTATTTAACTAAGGCTAAATCTGTCCTAACCATCTATTATTCTATGTAGCATGCTACATGAAGCTCATCGCTCAGTAACAGTAGCACTCACAACCCTCCTGAGATGTTTGTTTACCACACTGCACTGGGAGCTGGCTAACATTCCCCTACAGAAGAGGCTTGAATTACAATTATGTGAAATGTGAGGTCAAAACAAGAATTATATGGGCCAGAGAGCTTTGTTTCTAGTTTGTCACTGCTGACAGTTTTCCTCAAGTTCATGTCCAGATCAGTTACTCTCTGATATTAATATTCACATTTACCCTTAGAAACACAGGTTCAGGCTTCTAAGATCTAATATCTTGGCATAAATCATGTTTTTCTGTGTTTCAAATAATATTTCTCAAAAGGTTCCTAAGAAACGTAATTTGGAAGTCAAATGAAGAAGTGCCATTAAACACCAGTAATGCATTATAATTCTCCTCTTCTTACCTGATGGAGTTTAATGGACATGCGGATTCCCGGGACTACGACTTTCCTTAGCAATTCCATGTCAGCGAAGATCCATTCATCTCGAATTGAAGAAATACGGAAATCTCCCTTAAATAGGGCATGCAATCCATAGAGGAATGACTCTAAATTACTGTTAGGATTGGAGATAAAAATTTACATATTTTGACAAAGAACTTCCATTACACTGATTCTTACATGTGGTTGTGCATCAGAATCATCTGGGAGCGTTTTGCAAATACAGAGTCCAATGACTATACTAATGTTAGAACCCCTGAGTCAGAATCACAAGGGACAGGGGCCCATTGATCTGGGGCCCTTGTTCACGAACCACTATAGTAATAAGCCCATGAAAATAAACAATAGACAAAGAGTATATAAGTCACAAAAACTTAAATGGAAAACATGTAGTAATCACAAAAGAAATGTAAAATATATAGTATTTCTTAGTTCTAATTCATTCAGATGCATATGTCAAGAAATTCAGCTTATATTTGTATTCCCAAAAATCTAATGTACTATATTAACTATATTAAAAGCATAAATGCTCTGGACAAAAACTACAAGGAAATATGGAAAAATAAAAAGAGGTAACTCATTAGAAAAATAGATGTAAAATGGGAGGAGACCAATCAAACTTTATGGGTGATTATTTTTAAAAATGTCTTAAATCCATTAAATTCTTATTATCAGTAGTTACCACACATGTGTGATTTTTAAAAGCCAGCTATTAACCGCTTGGGAGAACTCAACTCTCAGAAGAGACTTTTGCAATAAATTAGCATAGAATGCTTCCATGAAAAGCTATTTCAGACTTTTCAGATCTATGTTATACAGCTTCTCCTACTCTCTTCCTGAAAACAGAAATGCCTTCCTTACCTGGACATATGGTGGGATGCAGTCCCCAAAGCTCTCCGTCCCAGAACGCAAAGTCCGTAACAAAGAGTCACCAGAGATGAATCTTTGTCAACATCCAGTGGCTTTAAAAAACAAAGAACATTAGTTATCAGAAAGGTATAAAGGTATTTAACAAATAGGAAGACAGTTAATAAAAATCAGAGAGGATGAAGAACTCAACTAAATTTCTAGGTCTTTAAACAGTCCTAATGACAAGAAACTTAACAAATCAGTTTAAAATGAAGTATGAATGTATATGAGGAGTTTCTTTGAAACCTTTAAATAAAATCTAATGCTTTATAATACTGGAACATACTTAAAAAAAGAAACACCTGACTTTTATAAAGTATTAGGATCTTAGCAAAACATCTCAAAGAAAATACTTACTGGCATACATCATTACTGATAATGTCCTCTCCTGAAAATACAATATTCTACCTATTAATTAGTTGTTTATGGACATAAGGTGGAGGCAGGCTATCAGCGACAGCTGCATTAGCCTACTAGCGACTATACCAGAGTAAAGAAAACCAAATTGATGGTTATCTGTGGAATACTGCTTCCCCCCAACCTCTGAATTTCTTTTTAACGAGTGAAGGTTCTCTTACCCAGATGGTCAGAAAGAAGGAGGTCTGGAAAAACTGACCTCATAATAACAAACGGGGATATTCTTTCCATCTCTGAAAAAATGGACTCAAAGAGTTACAAATAAAGTACACAACCTCTACCTTCGCTCTTCGGGAAGAGCAATATTCTATCCAGTTGAGGTAAATCACACAGAAACTCTCCCTGGATATGCCAGCCAGTCGATGGTCATAGTCTTCATCAATGTTTGGATTAAATGTTGGGTCCACATCAACATAATTTCGATCTGCACACAGACGTAGTCCTTCCTGCATTGTTTCATTGGCTAGCCACTCCTCCAGTTTAGAAGAAGTTGTAACATAGTAAATGATACCCTAAAGGGGGAAAGATTAAAAAAAACAAAGCAAAAAACAAAACCCAAGTTACAGTTTGAATTAACTCTAATTCCTCATTAAATAAATTCCAATAATTTATACTGATTGTATAACTAAAAAATATTTTATTCTAGCTCAATACTCTAAGAAAACATTTTAGGAATGCCATAAAAAATATACCTCAGGCCTTTCTGGATGAACACTTACTTTAATACTTTAAAAGTCACAACCATAAATTCATCAAGACAAATTCAAAACAATTCTATTGATCTCAGAGCTTTTGAATTTAGGACATTTTAAGGAGAGGTAGAAAAACTTTACTGTGATGCATTTCTCATAGAAAGTTATTAAATCATCTTGTGGTGCTAAGTCAAGTTATGGAAATATAATAGTAAAGCAATAGAAATATACCTACTTAGAACCAGAGATACAAAATGCCACATACACACAGAGACAGAGAGCACGTAAAAATTGCAAAATCACTCTATTTAGCTTCCTGAGGTTGGGTTTAACCAACCATTAATTATAAGACTAACATTCATCCCAATCAGCACAAATAAAGTGGTACCTAGAGGTAGTAACACAGATATGGGTCACTAAAATTTAGCATACATTTCCCTCTTCAAAATACTGGCTCTGCCTGCATGCTGCCAAATCATAGCTTGCTGTAATCTTGTAATATCTTCAGCAAAAACAGAACACCTGTATAGTAAAGAACAAACCTAGCCCAAGAGAGGTTTGGTCTTTGCCCTTGGGTGCTGGGAGGTAACTTCTATTCCCTTGCCTCTTCAGAGTCTTTGTTCCCCATGAGCTTACAGCCATGACCTCTGGAGGAGCTGGAAACTAAGGCTGGCCATGGGGGCAGTAAACCACACCAAGGTGACTAGACTCCAATAAAAACTCTATACACCAAGGCTCAGGTGAGCTTCTTTGGTTGACAACAGTCTGTGAGTACTGTCACACATTGTTGCTGGGAGAAATGGGCATTATCTGCACAACTGCACTGACAGGAGACAACTGGAAGCTCATGCCTTGGTGTCTCTGGACCCTGCCCTATACGCCTCTTCCCTTGGCTGATTTTAGTCTGTATTCTTCCACCGTAATAAACCCTAACAATGAGTGTCACGGCTTTGCTGTGTTTTGTGAGTCCTTCTGGCAAATTACTGAACCAGAGACTAGTCCGTGGGGACCCAAAATTGCAGCTGGTGCTACAAGTGAGGGTGGTTTTGGAGACCTTCCAAATCTTGCAATACTTTTATTCAGGTTATTGAAAGCAGTGCAAAGCAGTGGTTAATAGCAAGGGCTCAGGAGCTGGACATGCCTAGAGTTTAAATCCCTAACTCCACTTGCTAAGTAGAGGACACTGGGCAGGTAACTTCCGATTCTTGTTTACTTGAAAAACAGAAATATAATATTCCTTCAGAAAACTGCATAAGACATATATATGTATATGTATGCATATGTGTATTCCTTGGCCCAGTACCTAAAACATATAAGCTACATATGGTAGCTATTATTCATGAACAAATGAAATAAGATCCACTAAAGAAAGACATAGCAATACCTTAGTAGGTATACTTTACTGACTTAATACTAGGGAATTTTTTTTTTTTTTTAAATAGACTCCAGCTGGGCGTGGAGCCCAAAGTGGGGCCAAAATTCATGACCCTGAGATCAAGACCTGAGCTGAGATCAAGAGTTAGACACTTAACTGACCGAGCCACCCAGGCGCCCCAATACTAGAGAATTTATATCACTACTTAGAAGCAAAGCACAAATACATTTAAAAAAAAAAAAAAAAGTCTTTTCCAAGAAGAACTCAGAACTGTCAGAAGATCTACCTGGGCACACACCCTTACCTTGACATAGTAAGTGGTGAGGACTTTCCGAAGATCAAAGACTTGAAGCATAGAGGCAGCACTATTGTCAGTGATACTATAACCCTCCAGAATATACTTAGTGACTATCACTTCCCAAGCTAGCCAGCGCTGGCTAAATGCAGCATTAAATGAAAGCACATGAGGAATATGGCCAGGTTCACAACAGCAAAATCCTTCATCTTCTTCAACGCCTTCAGTAATGGCCTCCACTTCCCGTTGTTGACAGTAAGTACCTTAAAGAGAGAGAGAGACCACTGCATACAAAGAAGAAAAAAAACCATATGAAGTAGAAAATGAATGCTTCAAAGACACAAGAAATTTAGGGGGAAAAAAACAAAACACCTTTTATAGTAATTGAAAGTATGTGATTGATTTCCCTTGGAATGTTCACTAACAAACTGCAGGAAGCTCCAGAAACTAGGCATATTATATATTCACTTCCTGCAGAATCACAACATGAATTAGCACATTAAAGGTTCTGAAAATTTGTGCAGTTACCTTCTTAATTTTCAAGTACTGATCCCAAACTTTTCAAATTTGGGTTCACAATTGCATTCATATCAAACGAAGGCCAATGAGTAAAGGGACATCTCATGACGGTTTGAGTTCATTCAATAAGGGAAGAGTGGATTTAGAAGTGAATCACTGCAGGGCACACAATATAGACAGACATGCAGAACTCAAAAGAATGTGGGCTCCCTTTATCAGTACCATGTCCATGTGGCAAGCAGAAATATTATATACATATATTTGAATATATAAACTGTAATGGTTCATGATAATTTTATCTTAAATCCATGATTACTTTTTCTGTTGCCAATTCCAATAGTAATTGGATAAAATTACATTATTAGCATTTGAAGCTTACCTGCTGATAAAGTTTCAATTAGGTATGAGCTCTGATTATTCAACACTAGGAAACAATTCTTTGAAGTTACATTCTTTTATACAAGATATCAAACATTCTCTGCATTAGTGTTACTGAAGTAAAAATACAAAATCAGAATAAATACAGAATTACACCCACAGCAATCTAGTGCCAGTAAAATACCATCTGTCACATTAATGTTTATTTTGTTCTGTGGCCTTGCTTCCATTTAATTAGCAAATTCCTTAAATTCTGTAAGGACTATTTAAGCAAATTCCTTAAATTCTGTAAGGGTATTACACTTAATTTTATAAATGCACATATTGAGGTTATATTTTAATAACTTATATGGACTTCACAATTTTTTTTCCTTTAAAGAGAACATATACACCATCCATGTTTGAAAAACACTGCTTTTTTTTAATATTTTATTTATTTATTTGAGAGAGAATACGAGTGAGGGAAAGGGCAGAGAGAGGGAGAAGCAGACTCCCTGATGAGCAGGGAACCTGCTGCGAGGCTTGATCCCAGGACCCCAGGATCATGACCTGAGCCAAAGGCAGATGCTTAACTGACTGAGCCACCCAGGCGCCCCTGAAAAATGCTGCTTTGAGAGAAAATGATGCCATGAAAACTAAACCCAGGTGGTGGTGGTGCTTAAAAGAGAGGCAGAAGAGGTAGGCTGGGCCGGGCTAATGAGCTGTATTGTTTAGCACTCTAGAACTCTCAACAACTCTACGATTTCATTTCTTGTTTGATTACATTGTTGAGCACTTCCAGGACAATGTCACACAGTGGTGAAAAGAAAAACCCTGGCATGAACCAGACATTAACAGGAGTACCCGCTGCAGTTGATCATCACACATGATCATGACTATAGATCTATATATACAAACTTTTTTCTTTTTTCAGAATAAGGATATGTGTAATTTTATAAAGTATTTTTCAAACCAATAATGGAAATGAAATTCAATCAAATGTCTCCTGGCATCTTCTAAGAGGATCATATTTTGTTGTTTTTCTCCTATAACCTATTAAAAGATGAATTCTATTAATTTGTTTTCTAATACTTAATTTCAAAAATAAAAATGAAATGACAAGGGCTCAACTACTGAGAGGTACTTAAAAAAAAAAGGACTGCTAATTTCTGCTTATTCTGGGTTCTGCAGATTTTTGCATCTAGAGTCTCAAGTGAGTTATACTACACTTTATTTTTTTAGCCAGTTTAACCATAGTTTGGCAGCAGTAGTACAGTGGCTCTGTAAAAAGCCTAGAGAGGTTTTCCTTCTTTATCCATGTGCTAGAATAGGGTAGAGAGGGCCAACAAATTATTCAGTTTCTAGAAGAAACATCCTGAGGCTGGGGTTTTAAAATCATGGCATGAAGCTGGGTCTGTTCCTTAGATTCTATGTGTTATTACTGTATTTTATTCATTTTGTCATCTTTCTGGAAGGTCAATCAAAGGTTTTTAAGTAAAGCAGATGACATAATGAGAGCTGTATTTGGTGCAGATCACTTTGTTAATAGTACATAGAAAAGATATGTGGCAAGAGGGAACTTGGAGATTTTGACATTTACTAAGACAGAATGAGATCCTTGTTCAGAGCAGAAGAAAGTGAACAGAGTAATTAATTAATGTGGGACGTTTTTACTCTACCATACAAATCCCAAGATTATTTTCTACCCCAACATGCCCAACATACCCAAAATAATACATTTTACTTAGGAAATGAAGTCAACGATAAGCATAGGAGTTAATATTGGCAACTGAAAAAAGAACTCTGAGACTCGGAGGGGGATTCTAGAATATCCATAAGGAACTATTACCAATTGTTTCCTGGACTAGCTATGTCTTTCAGTCACTTCATAGTGAATATTATCGGTAAAACTAAAACTGGCAGTTATGAAAACTAGACATGTTAAAAGTAATTTGAGTAAAAACCAAGAGGAATCCAATCAGCATAATACATTTTTGACCTATAAAGTTTGACCTGGAAAACTGTACTTGGTTGAAGTAACATTTACAAACAGAAAGTTAGCATTGTAGAAGCTTTAATAAAAAATTTTTGATAGACAAAAAATAACTGATAACTCAAATCTGAGATAAAATTTACATGGAAAAGAATATTGAGAATATCAGTAAAATAAAAACGGAAATGAAATAAATATAAAGGGATTTAACCAAGACATACAGGAAACTGATCAGGAAATTTGTTTAGCTAAATGTCACATGACATTTAGCATCCACTACAAGATACAATAAAATCAATGAATTAAATTGGCTTAATGAAGAATACCCCAGAAAACACATCAAAATGCTCAGGGGATCCAAATATCTGCCTGGCAACATACTGACACTCTTGATTATTTCGAGAGGCAGGAGGTAGATGGGACAGGGAATAACACTCTGAAGGAAAGAAAATAACCAAAGATCACAAGATCTGAGCAAGAATATAATCAGACCTCATGAGAATTCTGGAATGCAGAGAAAGGAGTAACAGCTATATACTTACATCATTTAATCATTCTATAAAATTAACTAATTATTTATTATATGCTAACTGATGAAACAGCAACTAGATACACAGTAATGAATGAAGCAGATAGGATTCCTGCCCTTGAGGAGCTTATAATCTACAGCAAAGGTTTGCAAAATACAGGCTTGGGCCAAATCCAAGCTAAGAATGGTTCTTATATCTTTAAAGCATTGTTTAAAAAAAAAAAAAATCAAAGAAAAATATGGAACAGAAAATGTGCATGCCTCCAAAAGCCTGAATTATTTACCATCTGGCTCTTTATAGAAAAAGTTTGCCAACCCCTGGGCTAGAGAAGAAATAAACTTTAAACAAACACAAATAAATATGAAATTATGAAATTATAATTAAGCTAAGTGCTAAAGAGGTAAAAATGGCAATATGAGAGATAATCATGTGGGACAGGTGGTTAGAGAAGGCTTCTCTGAGAAAGTGATATTTAGGCTAAAGCTTAAAGATAATTAAGGAATTAGCCAGATGGAAGATTGGTGGGAGGAAGGGAGACGGCTGGTACTTTCTAGGCAAAGAGAAAGGCAGTAGGAAGTCCTTAGTAAAGAATTTAGCACAGTTAAGACCCTGAAGGAAGGCCAGTGTGCCTAGAGTGAGTGAGGATGAAGGTATAAAGTGGAGTTGGAGAAACTGGCAAAGACCAGATCACAGTGTGGCAGAGCCTGTTAAGGAGTTTGAATTCTATTTTAAGTGCAATGGAAAGCCACAGACAATTTTAAGAATGAAAGGAACATGATCAAATCTGCCTCAAACAAAACAAAACCAAACAAAAAACCAAAAAAAGCAACACTATGGCTGAGTGAAGACTTACAGGTATCTCTTGCTATCCAAATCCACCACAAATTCAGATAGTAAAATATACTGTGTTCCCAAATCAGTTTGAGTTTTGTTTGGCAAATAGAATTTGAATGGCAAAAAATTTGTCCAAAATTTTATTTGAATCTACTTGGTACCAGAGATTGAAAGTTGGGAGAGTAAGGATTTGGATCAGTTTCTGATTTGGAGAATTTCTGACCAATATGGTGAAATGAGCACGTCCTAAGAAGGACCCTCTTCCAATTCACACAGACAGAAATGCTACATAAAACAGCTTCCCCACACAATGGTTTAAGAAAATAGAAAAAATAAAAAACAAAAAGGTGAAATCTTCAGGTACCAACAATTTAAAAAGACGTTAAAGTCATAGCAGTAGTAGGTGTAGTGGTGAGGTGAGGGATGCTGACTTTCAGATGAGTCCAGCTGGATTCGATGTGAACATCAGGTAAGACTCTAGAGAGATGGAATTAAGGTCTTGGGCTCTGAAGGAGAGGCAGAAACAAACCATAAAACAAGAATAGGACATTTTGAAAGAGAGAAATTGGATGACAAACAGATCACAAATGATAACAAACATCAACATTTACTGCCTTAATTTGAATGCCATACAAGTACAATCTTATTTCCAGTGAATGGAGTAATTTTAGAAAAGTACTTGTTCCATTAACAAAGATATTACCTAACAAAGGTCCAAACCTTCTGATTCAACATCGGGATGAAAATAAAGCTATAGGGTTTAAGTCTGATTTGATCCTCTAGTTAGCCCATTTTAGGAGCCATCTTGGGCCTATCTGGTTTGAACTGGCTTCTTGTGGCTTCTTCGTTTTGGAGTACTGTCAGGATAGGCCTCTGACTTTCCTAAAACTGGCCCTGGCTTCCTCTTTACCGATCTCCAGGCATCCGCTTAGAACCTAACCAACTGCCCACTCTAACAGCTGTAGAGCTCTGTAAATGCACTAAATGCCACTGACTTGTTCCCTTTAAAACTGATCTTAATGTTATGGGAACTTCACTTCAAAACCAAAATTTGTGGAAGACAAAGGCTTGGTATCTACATGAAAGTACTTGGTTAGCTACACACAAAACACGGCATTCTATGCTCCAGCCATCTAACAAATGAACGCAACTTCTCACAAAGAGAATAGGAAGAGAGCAAGCACAAAACAACAGAAATTAAACATCACCAGGAAAATAGTGAGTTATGCAAGAATGATGCTACCTTCACGTATTTTAGCATACCACAAAAATGATTTTTCTCTGAATGTGAAATTTGGAAAAAAATCTAATAATTGCTCTTTTAACAACTCTTCTCATTCCACAACTCCAAACGACCTAATTTTATGCTAATTTTTAATTTGAGATGTAAACACATAAAACTCAGATGTCACGGGAATACGTTACAGAAATAAAAGGTGAGTATCTTACCTCTGAATTCAAGTCCCCGCAGCTGGAAAGTGACCAACCCATTGCCTATCTCTATAAGGTGTACTAATGCATTGAGGTAGTCAGAGGCAAGAATGAAACAGTCCCCTGTACTGTAGTTTCCCCATCGTCCTAGGAGCAAATCACCACAGAGACTGTGTTGTAGGGATCTAGTTAAATGTTCATAAAAGATGGAATTCAGATTGTTGTCATCTGATCCTATAAGAAGGAATTAAACATGTTACATTTTACCCTAAGTCTTCAGTATATCAACAAAATATTAAAATATTAAAACTAATTTCCAGTTAGGATTGTATCTATATTTTCTTGACAAGGAAAATAATATTAACAGCCTTACAATTCCAATATAAAAATGAAACACAGGGTAACGAGAAAAGTTTCAGAATTTAGAGTTAGAAGTCACATAACTTCTCTGACCTCTGACCCCCATCCATAAAATGTGGGCACTAGATTAGATGAAATCTAAGGATTTTCACCTCTTCAATAACCATGACCTCTTCTATCACTATTCAATGAACTCCAACTTATAATGAAAACCACGTAAGAGAAATGAACAAGATAAAGGAATTCAGGATTAGAACAAAAAGATACATTAAAAAAGAAAGTGTGTAAAGGAATACAAAATTTGAACAAACAAGACAGTCCAAAATGAATAGAAGCTGGTCAAAAAAAAAAAAAAAACAACACAAAAACCCCAAAACAACAAAAAACCCCTAAATATTGAGATGGCTAAAACTAGATTAACAGAAATAAACTATATATATAGAAACAGCAGCAAAGAACCTATAAAATTTATTAGAGTCATTCTTTAAGAAAAAAAACTGGGATAAAACTAGCCATCTTTAGAAGTAACCCATCCAAAGCAAAATCTGTAAACAGGTACCCATAGTATAATACTGGAGGAAAGCAAAATACACAAAGCTTACTATTTTAAACTCAGCCTACAAAATAAAATAATGAAAAGGGTACTCCAGATACTAATTCAGTAAGATGGTCATTATCTAATGCCCTGTCTGCTCATTTCAGAAGTATGCATATTAATTCAGGTCTTTTTGATATGCAGGATGGCATCACTAGCATCATGAGAATTCTAAGCCCCTTATACATGGACATATTAGAGCTGGGATGGTTGTTTATCTACCAGAATGTGATAATGACAGGCATTATCAAGTAACTAGTCCTCTTTAATCCAATTTTATAATTATAAAACTATCTGGTTATTGTTAATTTAGTTTCTCAAGTAGAACAGTTGAAGGAATCAGCATTTGAAGGAATCTGAGAGTCAAATGGATACAAATGCTCCAGTCTATCTGAGAGTAAGATTTCTTTTAGTAAATTAATACATTGGAATTCTGGTTAATTTCTTATGGTTGGATTAGTGAGATTCACCCTCTGTGTGTCAGATTACTAACAGGTAGGTGGACAAAAGGATGTTTCCCAAATGATGAAACTAAGGAACCAGACTTTAGACAATGGAACCACCACCAAAATGCCATCCACTGAAACTCTACCTCGAGGGCCATTTGGCTGCCCTACATGACATCTCTACAATCAACAAACTAAATGAAATTAAATGAACATTTACCTAAACATTCAGAGAAGCGGGAGAAGCAAATATATTAATACACCTGTTGGTTAGATTGCATACTCTTTAATACACTTGACCAGTTTTACTTTAACTGTTCTACTTTTTAAACTATGTAAGAACAATCTTTGAATGACATTTTTTTTATTCCTATGAACATTCTTAAAATGCATTTTATAAAAGATGGGTTAGATACTTGAATTCACACTTTGCTAAAGCAGAACAAGAAGCAAAGGATATATAGTCTTTTAAAAATGATCACTTGGAACTCACAAAGGATTCCCAACTAGTTGGGAGTGAAATATATATATAACAAATTCCTTAGACTTGCTTCTTTACTCACAGAGCTTTTACCTGGATTTCTATCAAGCTGGGAAGCCAATCTGGTATTTGAATGATCCACCCGTTTTGTGCTGAAGAAGGCAAAACAGAACATTTTTGGTAACCTTTAATTAAAAAGAAGAAAACTGTACAATATAAATGATAAAGATTATCACTTCATGAATATCTCTGAGAAAAACCTATGATTGGTATATATTGATAAAATTCCTCATGAGCATACTTTTAGGGGTAAGGTTTTTTTACTTGCCCACCTCCATCATACATAAACATACAGTTTTTACCTAACTGGTGTTTCACTGAACAGGGTAGAAAGACATTAATGAGTTTAATGCCCCCCCCCAAATTGATCAGGATGAAACATGTGTCCTACATGCAGTTCTTAGAAATACACAGTGCATGAAACATTCTGTGCAAGGAGAAGGTGCATTTATTAATGTCCAGTGGTAGAGTGTTCTTAGAACAGTGGTTTCCAAAATATGGTCCACAGAACCCAAAGCAGGGGACTCAAGATCCTTTTAGGGAGCTTTCCAGATGAAAATGATTTTCATAATAATACTGAGCTGTTGTTCACTTTTTCACTGTGTAGACAACTGCATTAATGGTGCAAACGTAATAGTGGGTAAAACTACGGGCACTTCAATATGAATCAAGACAGTGGCACCAAACTGTATTTTGCACTGCCAAATATGCACAAGAAAAAATAAACAAAAATTCGAGTTTTGCTTCAAAATGTCTTTAATGAAGCAATAAAAAAAATTAATTTTATTAAATCACAACCCACCACTCAGTAAAGTCTTTTTAATATTGTGTGTAGCAAAATACACATAAAGCATTCTGCTGCATTCTGAAGTAGGATGGTTGTCTCAAGGGAAAGCATTCATGTAGTTACTTGAATTCCAAGCTGCACTAGCTCTTTTTTTCATAGAACACCATTTTTACTATGATTATTCAGACTTACATACTTGACAGACTTTTCTCAAAAATGAAGAAAGTGAGTCTGTCCTGTCGCAATAACAAAATTAAAGTTTCTAAGCAAAAATTAGAATTTGGGAAAATGTATATATATATTTATCAACAAGCTTGATAGCTTAGTAATGCTTAAACACTTTTCTTTAGAGATTGGTGGGGATATGAATGAATACATTTTTTTAATATTATATAATGAAATGTATCAAGATCTTGATCAAGATCGAGAATTGTTAAGATCTACATTACCCAGTGAACCAATATTTTCTAAATGATCAATAAATGGGTAAAAGATCCATTCAAAGTTTAACAATTATCAGTGGATTTTGATGTAACACAGTTCCAAAAATTCATGGGGCCAAGGGCAGGCCGCCCCAAGATGGGCCACTTTGACATGAACATTATTTTGAATTAAAATCAATCAAGGGGCGCCGAGGTGGCTCAGCCAGTTAAGTGTCTGCCTTCGGCTCAGGTGATGATCCCAGGGTCCTGGAATTGAGCCCCGTATTGGGCTCCCTGCTCAGCAAGGAGCCTGCTTCTCCCTCTCCCTCTCTGCCTCGCTCTCAAATAAAAAAAATCTTTCAAAGAAAATAAAAAATAAAAGCAATCAAAACTCAGCAGATTCAGGAAAAGATCTTTACCTCCCTCTCAACTGCTTGCTTATATCACAAAGAAAGCTATTAACAGAGATTCCTCTTTACCTAAGAAACTTATCTATAAAATGGGGTAACCTTTGTTTTCCAAACACCTCCTTTCACCTTCTTGCTAATGATCTTTCTCCCCTTTGTATCCTAAGACCCTTACCCCACTCCTTAATTCACAGAAGCATCATGTTACCTGTCTTTGGAATTTCCATGTCTGTGTGGATTCCCCGTATGTGCACATTAAATTTGATTTTCTCCTGTTTATCTGTCTCATGTCAATTTGATTCTTAGTTGAACTGGAAGGACTTTGAAGGGCAGAGGAAATACTTCTTCCCCAACAATAGATATGGTTTTAGACTCTATACTGCAACTAATTTTTAGGAACTACCATGTGTCGACTTTTAGTGAAGGATCAAAGAAAAATATCCACAATTGTCTAAAAAGGCTATTACAATACTTCTTTCTTTTCTAACTATGTGTCTGTGTGAGGCCAGATTTTCTTCATATACTTCAACTAAAACAACATATTGCAACAACAGATTGGCTGCAGAAGCAGACAGGAGAATCCAGTTGTCTTTTACTGAGCCAGACACTAAAGAGATTTATAGAACTACAAAAACAGTGACACTCTTCTCACTGATTATTTTTGGTGATGTGGAAAACATAGTAATTTTCATTACAAAAATATTATATTTACACATAATGGATTTATTGTTGCTATTTTTAAACTAATTAATAAACATTTGAATTTTTCTGAGTGTTGATTTCTAATATAGTAACTATCTGTAGATAAAACCTGTATCAACAAAAACTCGTTGGAGACTTTAATAACTGTGAAGAGAGTAAAGGGGTCCTGAGACCAAAACTGTCGCCACAGACATTATTTTGGGCTCAATTTAAGTTAGCTGAGAACAGAATATAAATAACACTGAAATTCATAAAAGAGAAACACCATGTATGGTTTTAGATGAAAGACGAGAGCAAAAGCTTCAAATCCCCAAGCTAGTCCATTGTTTAAAACGTGAGACTACTACTTTCATTTATTATACACACTAACTTGTAGAAGTACAGAAAGAAAGGAAGCAGTCAAGAAGATGGCCTGTAGAATTAAAAAGTAATATAAGCTCTTTCTGAATCAATATGTTAATACATGTTAAGAGCCTTAATATGTTTAGGCTCCATGACTCAGTAATTCCCCTTTTGAATAATCTTTCTTAAATTTAAAAAAAGAAAAGAAAAGAAAGAAATTTGGAGAGATTACATAAAGGATAGTTAGCAGGCATCAGATGAAACATTTAGCCAAAGGAACTAAATCTAAATGGAGAAAATACTTTATGCACAAAGATGGTCATTAAAAAATTATCCTCTTGAAAAACCAGAAATAATCTACAGAAAATTTAGCTCTGCAAATAGCTACTTCTAAGAAAACTATGAGATAATTATGACTGCTATGATGAAATAACATTGTATAATAGCATAAAGTCTCAGAGTAGTATTAATGTGGGACCAACTCAAAGAAACAGCATTAAAAGAAAAAAGACAGAAAAATTAGTATATTCAACATAAACTAGGTTTTAAAAAAATCTTAGAAAAACTGGCAGAGAAAAATATAGTTATTCTGACTCTTCTAATTTTATATGATTTTGAAACTTCAAGAGCATTTATAATAGTTTTAGCAAAATATTTCAACACAAAAAATTATTGTAATAATTCTGTTGATAGTTTTTATTATTAAAGAATAGATAAAATCAGCTTTCAAATGTTTTATTGTACTCACTTATAGTCTCTCTCCCAGAATTTCACAGGTCGAACATATGAAGTGATGAATATTGCACTTCCCAGAAAGGGATTTAGTGGAGTAGAAAAAAAGGCAGATACAGCAGCCTGAACAAACAACATGGCTGAATCTATGAAAAAACTGGTTAAGGATTTTTAATATTCATTTGAGTGAGTGCACGTGTGTGCGCACACACACAAACACACACACAAATACATCTCACAAACATACTGTGTTTACAGCAATGAGAACAATATGGTTCATCAGAGGAACACAAAAGAGGGTGTCATTGGACAATATAAGGGGGTACAAGCAGAAAGACACAGCGAGGAAAAGTACACCCTGGCATGATGCTTTGAAGGGAGTCAAATAAATATTTGCTAATATGTATTTGGTAAAAGTCCATACATTAAGTCTTGAATAAATATGCTTGGGTTTAATTTTCCAAAAGATCAAACTAAAATTTACAGATACAAAAAGTCTGCTTTTCAACATCAATGTGGTCACTACCTTTACTTTTATTTAGATAGTACTTTTAAGAAATGATAAGAATAGAAAATTTTAAACATAGTTCAATTACAATCATATGATTATGAAAAATGTACTTTCATTCGTTTAAAAATATTTCTAAACATTTTGTATTTATTTAAAAATTCCTAGACTTTAATGCTTACATATGTAAACATAAAATTTTAAATCAGCATTACTTAATTATAAAATCTTAATACTGTCCTCATGTGCAGATGATCTGTGGGTCACAAATGTTAACACAAGTTAAACAATCAAAATAGGTACAGACAGGGACTCAAAGGACTGAGAATATTTGATAATTTACCAACTAGCAATCTATATTCTATGCCTATAAAAGGTTATGCCTACAAACCAACATTCTCATTAAGGATGTGACTGCCCTTTCTTATACAACTTTTATTAGAAGGATACGGGGCACTGCAAAGGGCTGAGCAAAAGCATGGAAAGCAGAGCCCCATGTAATCTGCCATGGGGCAATGTAAGTGTATACAAACTGCAATTTATAAAGGAGTTCCCAAAGCTGTAGGAGGAAAAGAAAAACAATCAGTAAAAAACTTATCATCAGACACTTCAATTAGAAAATGAAAGACCTCTAAAATGTATTGTTTTTCTGATAGGAAAATGGCATTGAAATTATTCGCCATTTGATAAAAGGAAAAGACGTGTCAACTGCCAAAACACTGAATATATATTTAAGTGCAGACAGCTAGCTGATTTTTGGACTTGTGTTTCATCTGTTTAAAAAACTCTATGCCCGGGCACCTGGGTGGCTCAGATGGTTAAGTGTCTGCCTTTGGCTCGGGTCATGATCCCGGGGTCCTGGGATCGAGTCCCGCATCGGGCTCCCTGCTCCCTGGGAGCCTGCTTCTCCCTCTGCTTCTCTCTCTCTCTCTCATGAATAAATAAATAAAAATCTATAAAAAACAAAAAAACAAAAAACTCTATGCCCTCTACTGGTTATAGTACTACTACTACAAGCAAAACATAGAAAGGTAGGAAATCTAGGTGTTTATAAAGCTTAAGAAATTCATACATATTTTTATTCCAGGACACATTTTCCTCAAGTTTAGTGCTTTGAAAACTGAGTATGTTTTAAATGCAATGTCAAAAGAAATTTGAAAGCAGCCAGGTAGGAAATAAAGTTGTAATACGGTTGTCACTGCCTGTCTGCCTAAGGATTTAGTAGTGCACATCAGGCGTCTGTTCTTAATCCCAATTGTGATTGTCAATGGAAACACAATACACACTTTAATTTTCTGTAAATTAGGATTTGTTTTGTTGCTGAACATGTCTTCAACACTGAAACAGAATGACTGTGTTTGCACAAAACTGCCTCTGTAGCTCAGGCAGTGCGAGACCCACCTCACAAAACAGACAGGTTCTTAGGGGCAAGAGGTTCAAACTAATTTGGTGCTGTGATTCGGGCACTAAACACCTCGTACTTAAGTTGTTCAACGAATTGCAAATGAACCAGTTTAACTTCCAATTTAAAAAAGAAATTACAACTTCAACCAATTACAAAATGCAGATGGATGCCTGCATTCTTTGCCATGATTCAAAATTATGCCGGTAATCCTTAATGAGGATGTGATCAGGATGACAGAAGTAAAGGCAGCATTTAGATTATCAAGATGCCATTATAACTGCCTGAAAGCAGTACTTCAGAAAACTTCAGATTCTAAATGTGAACCAGACTGAACTCAAATTTTGACTGTAATGTTGAAGAAAAAATGATACGCATTACAAAGTTAAGTGGTTAGTGGGTAAAAGCACTTTTGTACACATTCATAGTAATTTCTTCCTATAAGATTATTTAATTGGTGGTGCCTCTTACAATGATATCTTAAAAAATTTATCGAGAGATCCCTTGAAAATTACTTGCTTACTACCACTGTTATGTTCTATTAGCTAACCTCACACAATGCAAAGTCCTTAAGGGCAGAGCTTTCCCTCTGTGCTCGGTGATGTAGCCTAAGCATCTAGAACAGTCCTGGAGCATTGGTATGCTCTGAAGGACAATTTGCTTAACAAACAAAAGTATTAAGAAAATCCAAACTAATGCAAATTAAGTCTATTTCAGAGATGCTTTCTATTTTACTGAAACTTTCACTTTTTTCCCAACTAGTATACAATTTCCAACCTAAATATTTAAATTTGTGAGAAACCACATGCTTCTTTGTACAAACAATTCTTTGATTAACTTTCTGGCTTCCTCCTTTGGTTAGCCATGCTCACTAGAAGAGGAAATAAATGATAAAAATGCATACAAATTAGTGATTGAACAAATATAACACTACAGTATTTTAGAAACTACTTAGTACAGTATTTAGCCCAATATTTTGAAATTGACTAACACTAAAACCTTGTTCAGATTAATGGTTTTCCATTTGTACTGTTCCCACCCTAGGTTAGACCTCTATCACATCTAAATTACTGTCAACAGTCTCTTAAACTGTTCTCCGTACCTTTAGGTTCTCTCTTCCCCAATTCATCCCAAATTTGGCTGACCAGGCTAACTTGCCTAAAACTGGGCTTTCATTGTGTTTTGTAGCTGTCATATGCTTCAGCTCTCTGTTACCTATCAAATGGGATAATATATGTCAAAGGCCTTTGTATGTGGTCAGTGTTAACATGAAATCTAAGCTCAATTTAACTTAGAAATAATCTGACTCACAACCTATTTCATTTAGAAAGGTAGTATGGTTCAGCAAAAAGATTCTTAGAAAGGGAGGCAGGAGACCCAGGTTTTGCCATCTCATTTGCAAAAGGACTAAAAGTACTTCTCTTAGGGGTGGATAATAAATCTTAGAAACATTTCATAATTTTCAGAGTATTCTGTAAATGTCAACATCAAACTAGTTCTGATTCCTCCCACACGGCCTCACTGGCCTCAGTATCTACCATCTTCATTCAGCTATCAGGTTATTTCCTCCCTCCATCTATCCAGCAGCCCACAGCCCAGTTCCATTATTACCATGTCTATTTCTAGAATTATTCAAAACCACACCCACTTTTGGAAGATCCTATATATTTAAAAATACATAGCTAATGGTGTTTCTCTAATTTTTCTATATAACTTAATCTTATCTCCCCACCTATAGCAAGAAATATGTCTTTTATGGATCATAGTGACTAGCACTGTTTAGGGATTTTAAAATTCTTCTAAAATAACTGGTTGATTGAAGAAAGATATTACTTAAAAGATAATGAAGCAAATGAAATGCAAGTAGAATCCTCACTAAACAGTGTATTAGTCAGGGCAATAATACTTTTTACAGATAGGGATATTCCTTTCAGTAATAAAGTACCTTGTTGAAGAGTATGGACATGAAGAAGAGATCCAACAGCATGGTCTCTGAAAATGCTTCATAGTCAATTTTGAAGAACAGCACAGTAAAGATGACTGTGACATACTGATATGTAGGGCTGCTAAAAGAGGACCGTAGCAACTTCAGACCAGCAATGGTGATCATTAAAGCACCTAACCTATGATATAAAGAAAGCAAAACTCATCAATGACTGAGAACTTCAGAAAAATCACCATTTCATTAACAATGCTTATAAAATATATCTATCAAATATAAACTTTTGAAAACGATTTATACAGCTAGGCAAATCGCATCCTAAAAAATAAACTATTATAGTATTTCCTTTTAACAATATGTAATATGGTTCTTATTCCTTTATATAAATAAGCATGTTTAAAAAAATAAGTAACAGTATTGCAATTCTAATATATGGTTCTCCAGTTTCTGGATATTTTTATTGCTTTAGTATTAACAGCATTTAGCATATAAAAAAACATGTATTAAGGCTTACCCAACATGCACCTAGCCTAGTGGGTAGGCTTATAGGATGACTACACAGGCAAGTGACCACCTCTATAGCCTGATTTACAAAATACACAAAAACAGACATCTCTCAAACTTACCACCTAATATTAAAAATTAATTTTATTTAATAAATGTCCTCTCATAAAATATTAGTTGAGGATAAGATGTCTGGAGTAGTGTGATACACAAGAGCAGAAACAGATATTCAGGCAAGGGAAGTTAAAGACACAATTTCACCTGAATTTTTTTTATCTCATAGCGCATTGCACCAAAGAGACAATTATTTGCTACTTGATCAATGTATTAGGACATTGCTTATGACAGCCCCTAGAAGTTAAACATAGATGAGAGGAGTATTGTACTTACTCTGTATCCAGTTTTTTTGGACTAGCAATTGTCTCTGCACTGTTACTAAGTTCACTGAGAACAATCAATGGATAGATGATATTCTTCTCCACAAAAAGAAGCCACACGTGAAGTTTCTCAAACCACATCATAGTGGCTGCATCTAACAAAGCAATATAAGGAGATCACATTATCTAATGTATAAAATATAGGCATACCTCATTTTTATTGTGCTTTACTTTATTCCGCTTTCCAGATACTGCATTTTTTTATAAATTCAAGTTTTATGGAAACCCTGTGTTGAATAAGTCTACCAGCACCATTTTCCAACAGCATTTGCTCACTTCATGTCTGTCACATTTTGGTAATCCTTGCAATATTTAAAGCTTTTTCATTATATTTGTTATGGTGATCTATGATCAGTGATCTTTGATGCTACTGTTGTATCTGCTTTGGGATAACATGAACTGCACCAATATAAGATGGCAAACTTAACCAATAATGTATGTGGTCTGACTGCTCTGCTGACCAGCTGTTCCCCCATATCTCTCCCTCCTTTCAGACTTCCCTATTCCCTGAGATTGAAATTAGGCCAATTAATAACTCTACAATGGCCACTTATAAGTGTTCAAGTGAAAGGAAGAATTGCACATCTCTCATTTTAAATCAAAAGCTGGAAATGATTAAGCCTAATGAGGAAGGCATGTTAAAAGCTAAGATAGGAGCGCCTGGGTGGCTCAGTTGGCTAAGTGTCTGCCTTCAGCTCAGGTGATGATCCCAGGGTCCTGGGATTGAGCCCCACGTTGTGTTCCCTGCTCAGCAAGGAATCTGCCCCTCCCCTTCCTTCTGCCTCTGCCCCCAACTTGTGCGCTGTCTCTCAAATAAATAAAATCTTTAAAAAAATAAAAATAAAATAAATAAAAAATAAAAGCCAAGATAGGCCAAAACCTAGGCCACTTGTGCCAAACATTCGCCAAGCTATGACTGCAAAGGAAAAGTTCTTTAAGGAAATTAAAAGTGCTGCTCCAGTGAACATACAAATGATAAGAAAGTGGAACAGTCTTATTGCTGATATGGAGAGAGTTTTTGTGGTCTGCACAGAAAATCAAACCAGCCACATTCCCTTAAGCCAACACCTAAACTAGAGCAAGGCCCTCACTCTCTTCAATTCTGTGAAGGCTGAGACAGGTGAGGAAGCTGCAGAAGAAAAGTCTGAAGCCAGCAGAGGTTGGGTCACGACGTTAAAGGAAAGAAGCCGTCTCCACATCCAAGTGCAAGGTGAAGCAGCAAGTGCTGATGGAGAAGCTGCAGCAAGTTATCCAGAAGATCTAGCTAAGATCATTCATGAAGGTGACTGCAGATTTTCAGTGTAGACTAAATAGCCTTCTGTTGGAAGAAGATGCCATCTGGGACTTTCATAGCTAGAGAGAAGTAGACACCTGGCTTCAAAGCTCCAAAGGCCAGGCTGATTCTCTTGTTAGGGGCTAATACAGCTGGTAACTTTAAGTGGAAGTCAGTGCTCATTTACTATTCCAAAAATCCTCAGGCCCTTCAGAATGATGCTAAATCTACTCTGCCTGTGTACTACAGATGAAACAACAAAGCCTGGATGATAGCACATCTATATATGACATAGTTTACTGAATATTTCAAGCCCACTGCCGAGGCCGACTGCTCAGAAAAAGAGATTCCTTTCAAAAGAATGCTCTAAGCAATTTTACTAAAAGTCCCAGGAAATTTGCTTTGAGAATGCACAGTCAAGTTTGATATAGAAAGCTTTTAAAAGCTTCAGAGTTCTCTAAACAAGTATCTCCAAACAATTGAAGAATTTACTATCATAATTCACTAACTGAAGAAAAAGTTTTACGAAAAACCACTGGCTTGTTTAATCACAGATATATAATAAATGATGACATAGTTAGGAACTTTTATTATTTCTCTAAAATGCGGAAGTATGGTATATCACAGGTCAGGGGGCCAATGAACAAAGACCAACTACTTATGACAGGAAAAACAAGTCTGGATTTAAAATGGACTGGACTTCTACCTCTTTTTGAGTTATTTTATACTTTATCCCAAATCTGAATAAGTAAGAACAATTACAAGTGTTTTAAACTTCTTTTCATCTGATCTACTCTTATACCCTTCTCTAGTAGGAAATAGTATCACTGGTGGAAACAGGAACAAAGTTCTCTCTATTCCTCCTATGCTTTGAGCTAAAAATATTTCAAATAGAAGTTTTAAGGAGAACTGGAGTGCCTATATATAGAAAAGAAAAATCAGGTAACGGGTAAGGACTGGAAAGAGAAGCCACAGACATGCACGGGATTCGTCAATGAGAGGTCTGTGAAGAACACTATAGAAAGGAAGTAATTTTATTTTGTGCAAGTTAGCATTGTGGCACTGACATTTATACTTCAACTGAAATTAAAGCATCCTGCAAAAGGTTTGACTCATTACAACTTCAAATCTAAGTATAACAAACACAAGCCAAGTGTTACTTGATGATACTTATTTAACCGTCATCTGCTAAAGTTTAAAAAAAAAATCCATAATATTAAAAAGAGCAGAGTTAACGAAATACTTACTCCGAACTTCGTACTGATTGTACTCCACTGTCTTCAGCAGAGGGTGGGAGAAGCAGTGCCATGGTAGCTGTTTTCTGAGTTGAGGCAACACATAATGGGTTACAAAACCCACAAAGCCGACCAATGCATACAATACATACTTGAGAGCAGGCTAAAAGAAGAATAAAATTAGGAAAATTAAAAGTGATTTTGAGATCCATAGAACTTCTAATTTGTCAGTTCCATTTTCTACTTATTAACAGAAAATAGCAAAGTCAATTTTTGAATCTAAGAACCAAACATTTGTCAACAGTTAACACTGCTTTCTTATGTGGCTTTTCCAAAATTTGTACCAGGGTTGCCCTTATGATCAATAGGTACAGAAGAAGTGGTGATATGTCACATCTGACATCAATTATAAAAGACTGCAGCTTCTGTCTTGGGCTTTCTCTCTCTAGGACCACTGGCTCTGGGGAAAACCAGCTGCCATTTTGTGTGGATACTCAAAGCAGCCTATGGCGAGGGCCACATGGAGAGGAATTCAGATCTCTGGCCAATGGTCATCAAAGAACTAAGGCCTGTTAACAGCCTTGGTTCATGGCAGCCCCATATGACTGCAGCATCAAACACAGCCCGAACTGGGATCATCTAGCTAAGCTACAATCAGATTCATGACCCAGAGAAACCATGAGAAAATAAATATTTGTTGTTAAAACTGAATAAACGAAAAGTCATAAATTTCAGCATTATGGACAAATATTACAATCAAATAAAAAAATGAGTCTCAACAGTTATTTTCCCCCAATCAAAAGATCAAAATGATTCTTTACCTGCAATACTGTGAACACTGTGCTTACATGAATAGCAAAATATAGCACACCAATTACAATGCATACTACTAGGTCAGACTGTAAACGCTCACTCTGTGGAACAAAACAGAATTATCCAACAGTTACATAAAATTTAAAAATATGTATTTCTTTCATTCCCACTGACAAAGTAATAATTCTTCATTGATCCTATTCTTCTAGATAGTTCTTACATATAATAATTGGCTATAATAAGTATTTTCTTCCCCAATTTCCTTATATTCTGGTTTTGACACTATAATACCAAGGAAATGAAACTAGTTCTACACACTGTATAACATATTAAAACAAAGTCTTTTATTTTATTTTAAAAGATTTTATTTTTTACATAATCTCTACACCCAACATGGGGCTCAAACTCACAACCCTGACACCAAGAGTCCTATGCTCCAATGATTAAGCCAGCCAGGTGCCCCTATAACAAAGCCTTTTAGAATGAAGACTTTTTCCCCCATTAATCTGTAAGTTTGATTTTTACATATGGGAAAAGGAAATGAGGTATTTAAGTCAATATATCAGTTACAGAGGATACTCTTTTGGATAACAAAGTTATATTTTCACTGGTTTTTTAAAACGTTGAAACTGCATGTCTTATTTTACTTACTGGATTTTGATTCTTTTAGTGGTTGCAGTAAACCAGAAATGTCTCAATATCTTGACTGATCATCAATTGACCTGCAGATTTATGCTAATTTTAAGCTAGATTCAGAAATATCTTACTACATTTAACATGAAATGTCGTTTGCTAACATGGAAACTAAAGTCAGAAAAAACTGTTTGAATGCTATCCTGAAATAGTTTTGTATTACTAAAGTTTCTGAGAATATGTGAACAGCTCAAGTTCAGTAAAGGTAAATATAACTAATTCAAGACCTATATAAATTTAGTTTTTCACAAGTAGAAATAATCTAAAATAACTTAGAAAAAAATGTTTTATGCTTTGTCCATAAAGCAGATATGAATCCATAAAATTCATTTTTCAAGTAATTACTAAAAGAATATAGACAATATTGAATTCACTAAACTAGAAGATTTTTAAATTACTACATTTTCTTAAACATATTAAATTAGTACAGATAACCGCTCTCTCCTTCAATCTGAAAAATAAACACACATATACTTTTCAGATGGTCCTAAAGGAATAAAGCACACTAGAAGACCAGCAGATGATTTACAAGGACATAGTTTTATCAATAAGAACAATAACAACAAAACCTAATTTATGTTAAAATATGCATCTTTCAAATCCTAGTTTAAACTGAATGGGATTAAGAATTCTATAAACAATGAAATTACTTCATTTCACCTAATTTGAAAATGAATGTTTAGCATATTCTTTTACACAGAAACAACCTTTGAAGAATGAGCATTTAACAGGTTAAAATGTGACATAAAGGCAGTCAACAATATACACCTATACATACATTTTCCCCAATTACAAAGGCCTTCATTATATAAAATGATGAACTGTTTAAAATTTACATCTTTCAGGTGATTGTAAAAAGCTAAAACTTACAACAGAATTTCTAAGTTTTTCAGGCAGTGGATCTTTTACTTCAGACAGAGGGTCTTCTGGATTTTTCTCTTCTGTTTTTGGAAAAATCTTGGATTGCACCAAAGAGCTTTAAATTAAAAAAAGAAAAAGAAAGAAAGAAAAAGAATTAATAAAGAACACATTCATAACCTGAAAACCAGTACTTCAAATGACAAATGAAGTTTATGATAAAAAAATCAAGTGTTCAGGGGTGACTGGGTGGTGCAGTCGGTTAAGTGTTCAACTCTAGGTTTCTGCTCAGGTCCTGAGATCAAATTCCACATTGGGCTCCCACACTCGATGAGGAGTCTGCTTGAGATTCTCTCTCCCTCTGCCCCTCCCAATCATGCACGTATGCTCACTCTCTTGCTCTCTAAGATAAGCATTCCAAGTATATTTAATCATTAGCAAATGATAATGTCTAAAGAGTTTACAATGCTATAAATAAGCATACAAGGAGAATATTTTTATTAAAATATATTTTTAATACTTTTAGGAGAGAAAATGCTAACAAATATTCCCAGCCAAACTGGTTAGAATGATCCAATGTTAATATATTTGAAACCCAATACAGATTAAGTCAACTGCACTTTGACAAGGCAGTAGGAAAACAGATCCTGAAAGTTAAATTTGAAAGAAATGTGAACTTATTTAAATTTAATTCAATAACAACTGATTTCACTTACAATAGTACAGATGGATCGCTGCTTTGTCGGCTGAGATGATAGGATACTGCCACTAATAAACCACAAAAAATGGAGAAAAGTACTGGAATATGCTGGCCATCCCAAGAATCCTGTTGGGAAAAAAGTTTCATAGAACAATATGCATCTAATTTATCATCTATCATATAATTCTTTTATGTCAGTATTTTGGAGGAAGATAATTAAATTTACCAAAAACTTTTTAGCCATATTATTAATTGTATTTTATTCCAGATAAATTTAGATTTAGTACTTTCTGATCATCTTCAGATTTCTTTTGGTACTAAGTTCTATTTACACGCTAAGGATAGTACATTTGCTTCTGATACATGCTGCTGTCAATTTCTTTCACATCTCAAGTGGTATTAAGCTTATGGTAAACTACATTTTCCCTTTAGAAAAATGAAATAACTTGGTGCAACACGTTTGATTATATATAATAATGGAATAGGGACAACACATTAGCTAACAGAAGACACATTGCTGTGCTTTTATCCTGATACCTTTGCTCATAATATGCCATTACTTCATTATCTTCCAGAAAACTCAATAGGCATTCAGTGCTCTTGAATAATAAACTGCATATTCCCCAAAATAAATAATGCAAAGGCTAGCTTCTAAAGTCAACCAAACATGTGGATGTGGATATGTCATGTCATGTCTGCTCACTGCAATATTTCTGGAGTCTAATAGCATGGTACTTGGTAAAGAGTAGATAATACTGATAAAAGAATAGTTAATAGTTCTTATGTATGGCCACTGAGTAAACAGCATTCTATCCCTTCTTCTTTCTCTGGGATTCAAGAAGGGGAATCCAAATAGTAGCTTATTATACAACTTGTTTTTTTTTTTTTAAATAATAAAGTTTTGAAAATTGTTACACATCACAACATACAGACCTTTTTGTGATGGCTACATCAAAATATCATTATCCTCATATTGACCATTAGGTGTCAAGCCCCATTCTTAGATCTTTGCTAAGTATTTCCTAAACAATTCTTTTTTTCACTTTATTTTTTAAATTTTTTATTGTTGTTAATCACCATACATTATTAGTTTTTGATGTATTGTTCCATGATTCATTATTTGTGCATAACACCCAGGGCTCCATGCAGAGTGTGCCCTCTTTAATACCCATCACCAGGCTAACCCATCCCCCCACCCCCCTCCCCTCTAGAACCCTCAGTTTGTTTTTCAGAGTCCATCGTCTCTCATGGTTCATCTCCCCCTCCTTTTTTTCTTAACATATATTGCATTATTTGTTTCAGAGGTACAGATCTGTGATTCAACAGTCTTGCACAATTCACAGCGCTCACCACAGCACATACCCTCCCCAATGTCTATCACCCAGCCACCCCATCCCTCCCACCCTAAACAATTCTTATGATCATCCTTGGAGATATATACTATTGCTTCCCAGTTTATAGATGAGAAAACTCAGGCGCAAAGGGTTCAAGTAATTTGTTCAGTTAAGTGGTGGAGCCAGGAACTGAAGCTCCCGATGTCTGGATTTACTGAGAAGGAAGTTAAACAATATAGGAATTTGAGAATGAGAGAGAGAGAAATACATAAAGAGAAAACAAAATGTATGTTGGAATAGCATTTGCACAGTGATAATAAAAGGAAACATATCAGGTATATGAGAGAGACAAGGAAGACCACATGTGGTTGAGATGTGCAGTGAGAGGTGACAAAAAGTTAAGGCTACAACTTCCATAAAGCACAGTCCATGGGTAATGCATAAAACTTGACAAAATATTGGGCGCCTGGGTGGCTCAGTTGGTTAAGCGACTGCCTTCGGCTCAGGTCATGATCCTGGAGTCCCGGGATCGAGTCCCACATTGGGCTCCCTGCTCAGCGGGGAGTCTGCTTCTCCCTCTGACCCTCTTCCCTCTCGTGCTCTCTATCTCTCATTCTCTCTCAAATAAATAAATAAAATCTTTAAAAAAATAAAAAAATAAAAAAATAAAACTTGACAAAATATAAGAAGTGTAAGTTAGTTACTTAAGACACTGGGAGGCAAATACCAAAAGAATCAACTCAAAGAGGGCACGTACTGAATGGAGCACTGGGTGTTATATGCAAACAATGAATCATGGAACACTACGTCAAAAACTAATGATGTACTGCATGGTGATTAACATAATAAAATTTACAAAACAACTCTAAAAAAAAAAAAGAATCAACTCAAAGAATTGAAAGTGGTAACTCTAAGGAAGGGATAAAGAGGTAGGGGATGGTTGTTCCTGGTGATAAGTCTTGTAGAAATATCTGATTCTTTGAAAGATACACATGCACAACTTTAGTAAACATTAAAACTAATAAAAAGATGTCCCGCTTCAGAAAACTAGCAATTCCATTTCTAGGGATTTACCCAAGAAAAATTAAAACATATGTGTGTTCATCGAAGCTTTATTCATACTATTCCTAAACTCTAGGGGCGTCTAGGTGGTTCAGTCTGTTAAGACTGTGCCTTCGGCTCGGGTCATAATCCCAAGGTCCTGGAATCGAGCCCCACATCGGGCTTCCCGCTCAGTGTAGAGTCTGCTTCTCTAGCTCCCTCTGACCCTCCCCTCGCTTGTGCTCGCTTTCTGTCAAATAAATAAATAAATAAAGTCTTAAAAGAAAACATTCCTAAACTCTAAACAACTCAGATCTTCACCTCTAAGGCAGCAGAGAAGTTGACATATGCATACAATGGGAATAGGGACAATTTAAAACTAAATGGGATATTTTCCTGCAATAAAAAGGAACACATAATGTGAATGAATATCAAAACGTTATATTGAACAAAATACATCAGCTACAAAAGAGGTATGATTCCATTTATATGAAGTTCAAGAACCCCAAATCTATAGTAAAAGTGGTTGGGGCAGGGGGCATAGAAAAAGGAACACAAGGGAAATTTCGTGGGGTGATGGAACTGTATCTTGAGAAGGGTATGTATTACCCAGATATATGGATTTGCTAAAACTTATCAAATTGTGTAATTAAGACACATGGATATCACTCTATGTAAATTTTTCTTCAATTAAAACAAGTGTTTGGAGAAAACGAAAGATTCCTGCCTTTATCTGACAAATGCTTGACACTACTTTTTATTGTTCTCAAAGGAAAAACATACGTACATTGATCTCAAAATCACTTAGTTACTAGGAATTTATAATAATCAACATTTAATATAATTCATGAATATTTAAATAGATAGTAACTACAACCTTTACTGAATCACTTAACTAAAAAAACAAAAAGCAAAACAAACCCAACCACCTCTGAGTTTTCAATGAACTCTGATTCAGAAGTGGGAGAAAATTCAGTAACTATGAAAACAAAAGGGAAGTTGACCTACTACAAAAGATTAAAAGATGGGTTTGTTCTACCCACTGTAGTGGGTTTGAACACTTTCTCTTTACTCTGTAATGGCCCAAATTCTAGGAATCTCTTAAAAATATGAAAACACCTAGAAAGTATACACACATTGCTAGAATGAAGTAAAGTTGTATTAGAAAAAAAAAAAACTTAGCTTTTGAGCCAAAAAGTTCAAGGAAAAATGAAAGAGTAAACACAAGGAAAGCAGAAATCAATAAATAATAAATGCAAAAGTCTATATTAGTGAATAGATTTAAAAAAAAATTCCTAAAGGTATGCAATAATGTCTCCCAATGCATCTAACTGCCCAAAAGTAACTACGGTTATCAATTTCTTGTATATTCTTCCATCATTATTCTATGTATATACAAGCCACTGGATATATTTAAAAAAAAAAAAAAAACCAACAGCACAAAGGAACATCCATTTTTGAGGGTATTACCTTCCTTTTTATTAAGATACAATTTTATTTAAGATACCTTAAAAAGGTTTTAAGGTTGAGTAATATTCCTTTGTGGATGTGATATATATATATATATCACATTTTCGTGTGTGTGTCTTAAATAAAAAGGAAGGAAATCTTGTCATTTGTAACAACATGGATGAAATGGATGGCACTATGCTAATTGAAATAAGCCAGACAGAGAAAAGACAAATAATGCATGGTATCATATATACGAAAACCTTTTTTTAAAGAAAAAGTTGAGGGGCGCCTGGGTGGCTCAGTTGGTTGGGCGACTGCCTTCGGCTCAGGTCATGATCCTGGAGTCCCTGGATCGAGTCCCGCATCGGGCTCCCTGCTCGGCAGGGTGTCTGCTTCTCCCTCTGACCCTCCCCCTTCTCATGTGCTCTCTCTCTCTCTCTCTCATTCTCTCTGTCTCAAATAAATAAATAAAATCTTTAAAAAAAAAAAAAAAAAGTCAAATTCATAGAAACAGAAAAGTGGCTGCCAAGAACAGGGAAGTGGGAGAAATAGGGAAAGGTTGGTAAAAGAGTACAAACTTTCAATAACGGTCTAGGTAGGGTGGGGGGTGAGAAATGAGTGAAGGTGAAAATGGCAACTGTATTTAATAAGCCAGCATTGCATATTTGAAAGTTGCTAGGAGAAAGTTCTTAAAAGTTCTCATCAGGATACACACACAAAAAACTTTTTAACTGTGTGTTGAACAATGTTAATTCGACTTATTGTGATCACTTCACAATAGATACAAATATCAAATTATGTTGTACATCTGACACTAATATAATGATAGATGTCAATTATACCTCAATTAAAAATTTAAATAAACTTAAATTTTTTATAAGATGAATAAGGTCTAAGGATCTAATGGATAGCATAATGATTCTGGTTGATGACACTGTATCGTATAACTAAAATTTGCTAAAAGAGAAGAACTTAAGCACTCTCACCAAAACAAAACAAAAAAATATGTGAGGTGATAAATGTATTAACTTGATGAGGGGAGTCCTTTCACAGTGTATCAAATCATCACATACATTTTTAATATCTTATAACTTTGTTGATAATACTTCAATAAATCTTGAAAAAAAACAAATGGTTTGTCTTGAAAATCATTCCACATTAGCACACAAAAATCTGTTCTAAATGTGCAGATTTACTGTAATGGGTGACATCTAAAACTAAAATAGTGTAATGAAACCACCATAACCAACAAAAAAGGAAAATAGTTTATCTTCCTGCCTGCTTAGGATACAAGGTTCCATTTGGCAGTTTTATAACTGCTGTTCTTCTAGTAGATAATTATAAACAGCTGTTTGTACACTGGGCTAGAAAACTTACTGCACTGTTAACTTCTATTTCAACTGCCAAATAACCTCTCACTTTCGAAACATGGCTCCTGTACGCCAGGGTGGTAGGCAGGTAGTGGACCTAGGAGAAGCTTCCATCTCCTTGCCTCCAATTCCCTCCTGGGTTTAGCTCCATCAAGTATTTCTCTCTCTACTGGGTTTCCCCCTCCTCTTTTAAATGCAAGCAAGTCTCAAATCTTTTTAAAAAATAAAAACCTGAAAACCCCCATTATGTACGTTTAGAAAGCGTGTCTTATATTTCCTTAATATTTATTCAAACCCAACCTTATAATAATCTAGCTTCCTCAGCCAAAACACCAAAGAAGCTGTTTTGTTGAAGTCTCCAATAATCTGTTAACTGCCAAATTCAGTAAAAAGTTTTTTTTCAGACAATCCTGACTCTGAAGTTTCCTTTGGGGGACTCTGTTCTATCCATCACTTAAATACTTGCATTTCCCAGGGTTCTATCTGTATCCATTTCCTCTTGTCAGTCCAGGTTAGCAGTCTTTTACTTACTTTCATTTAGTTGATGAATCCTAAATCTTTTAATCATTACCTCAAAACTCTCTACATATAACTACCTACTATGCTTCTCTGGATACCCCATGAATGTCATCAAATGAATGTGTCCATCTGTAAACAACCACCTTCCTCGCTAAACTCAAAGATTTCCAATCTTAGGCACTAGTATCACTATTTAACCAGCTGTTCAAGGCAGCTACCCAGAAGTCATGCTGGACCCTCTTCTGGCTTTTCTCTCTTTATCCACAGAGTCCTCAAATATATTCACTGAATCCAATTTTAGCTAGGTCCCTCATAATTTTAAGATTGCAATACAACTCACCCCACTGCTGATCCCTCCTGCTTATATTTCAATCTCCTTTCACACCAGAGACCAAGTAATCTTTCTGAAACACAACACTGATCATTTCTTTACCTTACCTCAAGTATTCTGATGGTCTGTTAAAAAAAAAAAAATTATGATGGTCTTCCATCTCCACCCAATACATTCAGGGTAAGATATTTCATAATCCAGCCACTGCTTATCTTTCCAGCCTTATTGAAGGTATCTTTCCTCATGCACCCAAACCTCCAGCAATTCCAAATTATTTGCTGTTTCCTGTACATATCACACTATCTTGACAACTCCATGGCTCTTCATCCCATGTTTCAACTAGGTGATTTCTAGTTGTCTGTCAAATATTGGTTAAAAAGCTACCCCTCTTGGAAAATTATCTTTAATCCCTTTTGGCTAAATAAGGTGACAACTTATATACCTGTACCACTCCATTTTCACAGCCTTCATCAACCTCTACTGAAAGTGTTGGTTGACTTACTAATCACAGCTAAGAGACAAGCAATTTAAAAGCAGGAAATGGTGTTTCGCACAGTCCTGAGCACACAGCCAACACTCCCTAAATGCTACTGAATAAATGATGCGAAAAAGGATGCTATGAGTCACTTTTCTTAGTCCTTTCAACCCTATCATTCTCTGACTGTCTTGCATTAATGATGATGATGACAATAATAATAGTAATAATAATAATAGGGGTTGAGAGTTGTTTACATGAAATTTAAAATTTCTATGTTTACAACTTGGTGGCAATCTTTTTAAAATGGAGCTAATTAAGGCTCATCCAGATTCTTCCAGGCCAATAATGATGATGAATTATTTTCTCTAGAATGTATCTTAAATTGCAGTCCTTGCACTTGTACTCACAAGTTTTAAGAAATCTTGATGTGAATAGTAGTTATATATATATATTCTTAAGTAAAAATCTAAAATTAATTTCATATTCTGTTATTACCATACCCACCTCTACCCCAGACCAACCCAGTTTTAATAATGTTTCTAATATTAACCTACGATTACTACATGGAAAAGGATTTACTTTTTAATAATGGTTAATCATGAGATTGCTTTTAAGTTCAAAGTAAATGAGAATGAGAATAATATTCAATATACGAAGATCATGGAAATTAATGCTAAAGTGGCTGCAAGGAGAATGGAGGGATGGGGGCTTAAATCATGATTAGTCAATTTAAAACAATCTTCATATAGAAAAATAGACTTAGGGGCTCCTGGGTGGCTCAGTCGGTTGAGCGTTTGCCTTCAGCTCAGGTCATGATCCTGGGATTGAGCGCCATGTCAGACTCCCTGCTCAGTGGGGAGCCTGCTTCTCCCTCTCCCTCCCTCCCTGCTTGTTCTCTATCTCTATCTCTCTCTCTCACTCTGTCTCTCAAATAAATAAAATCTTAAAAAAAAAAAAAAATAGCCTTAAAGACAAAATCATACCATAATGTATTGCTCACCTTTAAAGCGCCATAACACAATCCATATAGTAAGGCTACTGCCACAATGCTACAGATAAAACTGTAAAGTGCTGCAAGCAAGCTTGTAGTGGCTAGACAGGAAAGGGGAAAAATTTTAATATTTTATAGACATTTATGGAAAAAATCTTAAAAGTATTTAAAATGTTATAATATTGACTACAATGAAATATCTACTCATTTGACTTTTAAAAATGCAGTTATGTCAAATTCAGTTACATCATCCTATCCTTTGAAAAGATTTTGAAATGACAAAGGTTTACTATCCACAACTTTTGATACAAGACAAAATATATTCACCTTATAAGTAATGAACATTTATACATGGCAGAAAAAGTTGTACCTACATTATGCTTCAAGAATGTATCTTATTATTTACAAAAGTATGGGAAAATGAAGCTTGCAGAGGCTTAAAAGAACTGGCAATGTATTAAGTATTCACAAAAAGATACTAGTCTCTGTAAACAGAACTTGTATTACCCAAGGAAGTAAATTTATATTACCATGTGTCAATTAATTCTCACAAAAAAGTACAGATCTGACTAATTAATAACTAACAAAAACAAAAGATAGATCCACCTCTTCAGTAAGTGGTTTCGGGAAAAAGGACAGCTACATACAAAAGAATGAAACCGCACCACTTTCTTACACCACAGACAAAAATAAAATGGATTAAAGACCTACATGTAAGATATGAACCATAAAACTTCTAAAAGAAAACATAGTAATCTCGTAGACATCGGCTTTAGCCATATTTTCCTGGATCTGTCTCCTCAAGCAAAGGGAAACAAAAGCAAAATAAACAACTGGGACTGCATCAAACTAAAAAAGCTTTTGCAGCATGCAAAAAACTAAGAACAAAACAAAAAGGCAACCTATTGAATGGAAGAAGGTATCTGCAAATGATATATCTGATAAAGGGTTAATATCCAAAATATATAAAGAACTCACACAACTCAACTTGGGCAAAAACCGTAAGTAATCAGATTAAAATGTACAGAAGACCCAAACATTTTTCTAAAGATATATAGATGGCCAACAGACACATGAAAAGACATTCAACATCACTGATCATCAATGCAAATCAAAACCACAGTCAGGTATCAGCTTATACCATAGTGGCAAGCATGAAAAAGACAAGAAATAACAAGTGTTGGCGAGATGTGGAGAAAAGGGAACACTCATGCAACTGTTGATGGGAATGTACTGGTGCACCCTCTAAAGAAAACAGTATGGAAGTTCTTCAAAAAATTAAAAATGGAACTACCAGATGATCCAGTTAATTCCATTTCTGGGTATTTTCCCAAAAATAACGAAAACACTAACTAGAAAAGATACATTCACTCCTATGTTTATTGCAGCATTATTTACAATGGCCAAGATATGGAAGCAAGGTAAGTGTCCATCAACAGACTCAGCCACAAACAAGAATGAAATATTGCCATTTGCTGCAACAGCATGGATGGACCTACAGGGCATTATCCTAAGTGAAATAGGTCAGGCAAAAAAAGACAAATACCATATGATTTCACTCACATGTAGAATCTAAAAAACAAAACAAACAAACAAAAAAACAGAAACAGACTCACGAACATATAACAAACTGGTGGTTGCCAAACCGGGGGGCTGGGCAAAATAGGTGAAAGGGATAAAGAGACAAACTTCCAGTTATAAAATAAATGAATCACAGAATGAAAAGTATAGCATAGGGAATACAGTCAATAATATCATAATAACTTTGTAGAGTGACAGATGATAACTACATTTACAGGGGCAAGCATTTTTTAATGTATAAAATTATTAAATTACTATGTCATATACCTGAAACTAATATAATATTGTACGTCAACATCAAAGAACTATACTTCAATAAAAGGTAAAAAAAAATCTTAAAAATTCTATTCTTACAAGTGGAAAAAAATAGATTCAATGGGATTACTAATAATAAGGACAGGGAATGGCTAAGATAGCTCTCCTTTATTTTTTAAAAATATGAGTAACAGACTTTGTTCATGGTAATTTTATATGATAACCATGAAAAAAAAAACCTACTGGAAAAAATCTTCTTTAGGAGATATTAAAAAACTAACACCTTGCACAAGTTTGTAACAATATGATGAAGCCCACTATTATAAATTACCTACCCTAAGCACCCTCCAGACCCTAAATACTGAAACAGTCTTCTACCCACTAAGCTATGCTGAAGACCAGCCTAGTCTTCATTCACACCCCTTCAAAAATTTTTCAAAACATTAAAAATGCCCTAGATTCATAGCAGCAACAAAGGAAGAGATTAGTTTCTATTTAAAATTTAAGCCACAATAACAACATTTTATCAACAGAGATGATTTCAATGCATATGCTTGGAAGATGTGGACTACAAATGTGAAGTATGAAGAGAAATGGACCACAAAAGTTATAGTAATTTCTTTTCCTTTTATGTTTTTTCTCTAGTTATACACTCAACTTTCAAGTAAAATTTTAAATGGTTAAATTAAACAACAATGTATTTTAACCACAGTGTCTATCCATAAAATTAATTTCAAGTTCTGCAAACCATTATCTATTTCAGAGTAATTCTGGTATGATCTTTCTCATTTTCAAAGTAAAATATACATGTGAGAGGGGAATAAATTTCTAAGTATATCAATTCATATCCACATATTCTACTCCAAACAGAGAGATACTTCTAAAAATCTTATCTAGGAAAATGCTTTTACTAAAAGCATTTGGTTTTGGTGTTTCCATTCTAAAGAAATAACAAAGATCTGAAACCATATTCAGAGATATACCAAAAACATATACTAGTTCAAAATTCAAATATAATGTCATGTATCAGGGGTCAATCTATTTGGGACAGATAACCTTTTATAAATATTTCATAAGTCTATATAAATTCCATCTAAACTCACTACAACTTTCAGTTTTAGACAATAGTACTTCATCATTTCTTATAAAGTAACTCCATTATTCCTGGATCTTTCAATAAAGTGGCAGACTTGATTACTTCTTTCTATCTACAAAGTAATTCCTGCTCAGTCTTTAATTATTAAATAATTTCCTTTTTCTAATTGCAATTCTAAAATGAAAACTGGAAAGGTATTTTAATGTTACTTCATTACCTAATGATCTGTAAAATACTATAATCTGTCATTTTTAAAAGGAACTACTCACCATTACCACCGAAGATATGAATATCCAATTGCTCACAAAGGTACATTACAAATGTATTCACCTGAGGCAGGAGACCAATGAAAAATACTATTGGGAAACAGAGTGTAAACACTACAGAAGAAAAGAAAAGCATATTAAAAACATTTATACAACATCCATCCTTTTGTTCATTTTAAGATCATAAATGATAAAAAAAAATCCAAAATGAATATAAACTACTACGCAATTAAAAAAATCATTTTAAATTATTTCCATGTAACTGCTTGGGTATTAAATAATTTTTTCAACGATAAAGAACGGCTTTTAAAATTATTTCAACCATTTTATATAATAGTTATCTGAGATACAGAATCCAAAGGAAAACTTCCATCGCATCTGTTTCAAGACAGAAGAATTCTGTTATATGTATTCATCATTAACTTGTTTCATTCATAATAGCCCTATAGTTTTGTTCCTCACCGAGAGGATTACAATAAACAGCAAAGTAAGCCTATTAAAACCATTTTTTAACTATATAATTGATCTATTTATCAGGGAACTATTTGTGTACAAATAAATTAATGTTAAGATCTGAAATACTTTAAAGATCACTCACCTATAACTAAATCCCTGGCTGATATAAACACCAGTGGATTAGTGAAAGTTATTCCATATAATTTGAACTTGGTTGTAGTAAGGTTTCTGCTACCATAATCCAAGAGCCAAATAAGACCACAACATAAACAGAAATAAACTGGTCTACTGTAGGCAATGATACGATTATGGCCCTGAAAAATGATATTAAAAAAAAAGTTAGTTGATTTTAAGACTCACAACTAGCTATTGAGATCTTTGATAGCTTATATTCTAAGGATTCAAAATGTATCCATAGGAAGCCAAGTTTCTGACTGTGGCAGAAAGAAATTACAAATATGAGAAGGAAGAAGAATAGAATGAACCCTGTGATACTGGACTGAAATATTAGAGGTATCAATACGAACTTATTTTTAATACACATATAAATCGATATAAGATGTGTGTATACATGTATACATGCACATACGTATATACATAAATATATTTCCTAGCTTTAACCACTGAGAGGACCTAGAAATAATGACATTCTAGTAATAAAGATTACTAGCATCAAGATCTTAGTTTATAAATAACACTACTGACTTAAAAAACCCAGGCCTTCACAGAGAAAAGGCTGGTTTTGGGCTAGGGTAGGGAAAGTATATATAGATGAGCCTGGAACATATTATTGTGAAAAGGAAGGAAGTACTTAAAGACTGATAAGGATATGTCAAAAGGACAGAGAGGGCAGCTTGGTGGGCTCCCAATGGCCAAATCAGGATAATTTGTGCATCCAAATAAATGTTAGTAATGTTATAGTCCACTGAATAAAATATGAATCCAAACCAATACAAATAAGTAAACACAGAAGGAAAAGTTCTTCCTTACAGTAAAAAGTCAACTAATAAATTGGAAGGAATGATGGAATTAGAAAATTACTATTTGGCAACCATCGAATCATAACTGATTCAGGCAAGAAATATCAATAGATTTTTACTGAAAACAAGTAGTAGGTGGAAGTTTTTGGGGCAAAGGGACATATATGAAATCCCCAACTATTTCCCTATGCAACACTTATTAACTCTAAGAAGAAAAACAGTAACATTACAATAATTAGTGGTTCTCAAGGGAGGGGAGGTAATTTTGCCCCCTAGAGGATATTTGGCAATGTCTGAAGACATTCTGGTTGTCACAATTGGGGAGTGTGCTACTGACATCTAGTGGGTAGAGGTCAGAGGTAATGCTAAACATCCAAAAATGTACAGGACAGCACCGCTCCCTCCCATGGATTCTCAACAAAGAATTATCCAGCCCCAACTGTTAATACTGAGGAGTTTGAAAAACCTTGCAGAGACTACCCTTAGCCAAAAGATGAAAGTTAACATCACCAGTAAAAGGATAAATCAACATCATGTGCTTCCTGAAATGACACGCTGAGAACAACACATCACTTTCATAATTTTCCTTCCAAAAAAGCATGTCCTGTATCTAATCAAGAAGAAACATCAGACAAACTCAAATTAAGGGATGGTCTACAAAATAAATGGCATGTACCTACCAAAAGGGTCAATATCGTGAAAGACAAATATATACGGAAGAACTGCTCTAGATTAGAGGCTAAAAACAACAAACACATAATCAGGGATTTTCTCTGCCAACTGAGTCAACAGGAAATGCCTGAGTAAGATCTGTAGATTACAATGTTCAGCAATGTTCAGTGTCCTGATTTTAATAATTATATTGAAATTAATCATGTAAAGGAATACCTTTGTTTCTAGGAAAATACATGGGAATCTTTAGAGGTACAGGGGCACTGTGTCTACAATCCACTCTCAGGGAAGTGTGTGTAGGCTGGAAGGAGCGGGACAGGGTGGTGGAGAAAAACCAGAAAGGGAATAAGCAAATATGGCATATGTTCGCACAGGGAGCCGGTGAATGGCATCAAGAATTCTTTGCACAAGCCTTGCAACTTTTCCCTAAATTTCAAATTATGTCAAAATTTGAAGTTAAAAGCAATGCTCCCATCTATCATACACTTCAAAAGCATTCTTACAAAATATTAAACAATCAGTTGAAAGAAAATAATTTGCTTCCTTGTTCTGTTTTGCTCATCTACACTCACTATTAAGTATTCCAGTGTATGCGTAAAAATAATAATTGTATTCAAGAAAGAAGGCATCATCACAAACTGTTCTTAGAGTCTGTTTTTGAACTATTTTAAAGAGAATGCCCTTTGGTCTTTTTTTTTTTTTTAAGATTTTAATTATTTATTTGAGAGAGACAGAGAGAGTGACAGCACATGCGAGGAGGAGAGGGAGAAGCGGGCTCCCCGCTGAGCAGGGAGCCCGATGCAGGGCTCGATCCCAGGACCCTGAGATCATGACCCAAGCCGAAGGCAGACACTTAACCGACTGAGCCACCCAGGCGCCCCACCCTTTGGTTTTTCTATTAAATACTCTATGGTGGGTTCTAAAATTGGACCATACTTCACAAAAATACTGTTTAGCAGCTAATACTCTTCCAAAGTCACAAAGTGAATAATAAGGTTTTTAATCTCCTTAGGGTCCACAGGTCTAAACACCAGATCAATTTATTACTTCTTTATTCTTGCTCTTAATGATTACCTAAGCAAAATAATGTACAGTTCCCCCTACTTCAAAATTCTATTTTTCAGTACTTATTCATGATTTATTCTTCAAACTTTATTAAATACAAGTTATTAAGTAACTATGAGTTTATATGAACTATGTCTACTTGATAACCTCCTCCTGAAACAGGCTGTCAAAAAATGAATTATGCTCATTTTCAACTGAGATTTAGAGTCCACAATTATATCATTTTATTTCATGCTAATAAATCATCTTTCTAGTAGAGCGTCAAAACTTAGATGAGAAAACAATAACATAAATCTTAATTCAATCTGACATATGACCAAAAGAAGGTTTTGATGAATGTTAGGGAATTATAAGTTACAGGCATATCAGAGTGACTTACATGTCTGGGAGAAGAAGAATCTGGTTGAACACTCTAAAAATGAAACAAAAGATAGATTATACTACTGAGGTCCTCGTAACTTTATAAGTAACTTTCAAAATGCCTGAAATAATTTCAAGTAAAATATTCCACAGCTAAGAAATGACCTACATTAAGTCTGTTAAAATAAGAGAAGATGAAATTCCAGATACTGGTGTCACTGTGATATCAAAGAGATCTCAAATCTTTCCTGACTCTTATTAATTATGGTTAATTAAAACTTTACAAATAGCTTACACTTCTGAAATGGCATATGGTAGATAGTCCATCTTACTCCTTGGCTCATTATTACATATAATTAAGGTAGAATGCTTTCTTATATGATTCCACTCCATTCAGGAAATGCACAAAATATGGGTTAGTTTATAAGAAGAATTCTAGTTCAGCGCACAAATTTCAAGCCTACTAAACAATTCAATAGTACTTGTATTAAATCTATTCTCTGTATTTTCACATCAAAATCATCAAGTTAAGCTGTTTCCCTATAAGAGATTTTATCAACTTCCCTGAAAAATGTTCAAAAGGTATTTTGCAGCCACTTCCCAAATCATAACTTTTCTCCCAAGTTCCAGTTCATTTCTAACAGCAGTCCAAACAATTTCATTAGGATAGTCTATCACCACCCTACAACTCTATGAACCTTAGTCCTATATACCTAACAGGCAGTTAGGATGGACCAAGCTCAGCAAGTCTGTCATGTGGCCCTTGACTGGATATGAGACCAGGTAAGCTCTAAACTCAATTGCAACATCTGGCCTCCAAAAGCTTCTGGTCCAGTCTTTCTTACTTCTGTTTATGGTTATTACCATTCTTCTTAGTCAACTAGATTTTTTATTTTTTTTAATTTTTTTTAAAGAGTTTATTTATTAGAGAGAGAGAGAGCACACAAGCATGGGGAGCGGCAGGCAGAGGGAGAAGCAGGCTCCCTGCCGAGCAAGAAGCCTGATGCAGGACCCAATCCTAAGCTGAAGGCCGATGCTTAACCGTCTGAGCCACCCAGGCGTCCCTCAACTAGATTTTTTAAATCTAAAAAAAATTTTAAATCTCAGTCATCTTTTATCTTTCCACATCTAACCAGATTAACCTGAAAATAGTGGACAAAGTTAACAGGACAAGAGACACTGAAGCAAAGGAATGAATTTAAGTAGTTTAAGGCAATAAAGAGATGGATTATAGTGGTTGGAATAGAAAGAATAAAGGCCAGAAATTTTGACAGAGAATCACCAAATTTAATCAAAGGGACCTGGTTACTTGTTATTAGGGGTCGAGAAGTAAGGAACAGAGAGGCTTTAGGATTTTCAGTCAGTATACCACTGTCAAAAGCAAAGGAACTGGGAAAGAAAAATATTTATCAGAAGATGATGATACGGTATTTTTAAAATGTGCCAAACTGCCTGTTAGGTATATAGGACTAAAGCTTGTGAGAATGATGAAGACTTTGAGATATAAATCTGGACATGATTCATACATGGGGACAACAAATGAAGTAATAAAAGAAGGTGACTTCACTGGCAAGGAGTTGCAAGCTGAAAAGAGGGCCAGATAAAATCCTAAAATTCTTATAAACTAAGAAGTAGTCCAAAGACCAAAGAGGCAACAAAGGAAATTCAAGTTATCTGAAAAGTTAGGATAATCATCAGGGTAGCATAAAGTCACAGATCAAAATAAGGATAATATAAAAATAGAAGACAGTATTCATAGGTACTAAATGATACAGCACTCACAAAGAAGAATGAAAAAGGACATAGATCTGGCAATTAGAGCTTATTAGCCCAAAAAGACTGTAGTTTCAGTACCGCAAATGAGGTAAAAAGTATGGATGAGTCTTGAAGAAATGGAAAGAAATGGAGTTGACACAAATGGTTTTTCTGGATGTCTATCTATAAAGAGAGAAAGGACAGCAAAGAGTATAAACAGAACCAAACAGTTTTCAGGATGGGGAGAGTTCTGCATGTTAGTATACACTGGGCAGATAA